AGGTTTTCTTCATTTGTGGAACAGTTTTTGTTTTGTGTTTGGAGGAGCTGCATTTTCTTTTTTTCAAGTCCAACATGCCCTGATTTTAATTACTACACTCACCTCTCGTTGTGCTGGGTGAGAAGACAGCCTGAGGGATTTCAGAAAACATTCCATACCCTCCCAGCGCTTGAACCACTGAGAACACAGTGAACCGGGAGAGAGAAAACTCCCATCATTCTGAAATGACAACTGAAAAGACATTGCATTGATGATGCTGCTTTACAGAAGTCAACTCTGGCTTCCAGTGCACATACAAGGAAGGAGTGATGGTTAAGAGCTCAGGATGTGGAATCACAGTTACGGGTTTTAAAACCTGGTTCTACTATTTATTTACTGAGATAAGGGACTAGCAATTTAATCTTACAGGGCTTCCGTTTCTTCATTTATAAAATGGGGATAATGTGGGTTGAATATGCTTACCGAGGGGGAAAAACCAGCATGCACACAAAACACTGAGCTGACGGTGATTGTAGCTGTTATCGTGGACATTTACTTGAACCATATCTATGTGGATTTAGGTGATCAGGTGATGCTTACTTTGCAGAAACATGCTGTTCTAATTCTGTTAACTTTCATCACACTATGGTTATTTGCTTACTGCCTGACTGTCCTCACTCAACTCTGAAGTCCGTGAGAACAGCGCTGTGTCTCCCTCATCCAACATGAAACACATGATTCAGTGCCTGGCATGTACTCTGTGCTGGAGGCCAAGGTGGGCTGCCCTTGCTCTCCGTGGGCTATTAAATCAGGGTATGAGGATACAATAATGGGAGGTGAAAATAAGAGGTGCTCCTCAAACCATTCCCTTGGGATTACTGTGAAGGCTACAGGGCTGAGGTAGGAGTGGAAGTAACTCATCAGAATTAGTTCTAGTTCTGGCTCTTTCCATATGAAATAAGTCACGTGAGCAAGAGCCCCAGGCACCACCAGGTGGATAGGAATAATTTCAGAGTTCAGAGTATATTTTCACACCTGAAATACAGTGACCTCAAATAAAAGTCATTAGTTATTCCCATGACAAAATGGGTTTATTCAGAAACAAACAGCAGACAAGGGGGAAGACTGGAAAGTGTGTTCATAGGAAAATTCTGGAGGGCAATGAGATGACTAGATTTGGAGATCTGTGTTAAAAGTAGAAGGGGTCACCTATTTTTGTTTGTTTGTTTGTTTGTTTCTTGTCCTGGAAATGTATGTTTGCTTTGTCTAGCAATCATGAATTTAGAAAATTCCAGAAACACTATGTTGTAGGAGTCAAGTACTTCCCGAAGCCATCCCTCTCTATGACCCCGGGAGACCCCTTTCTCTGCTCCCCTGGCAGGGGAGACAGCATCACCCCCCTCCACGAGGGACAAGTCAGACATGTTGGGTCTCTAGTCTGCTGATGTACACATGCCTGGACACCCTCTTTCTGGCCTCCCACCTCATTTAAATAGGGGTTATATATCACCGTTCACAGATCTTTATAGTTCTTTTGGGATTGTTTAGGTGATTGTTCTGTTTTAATTTCATTTTCCCCTGTTACTTGTTCCCTAAATTCACACTCAATTACATAAATGAACTAAAGTCATCCAGGTAGCTTTTGATTAGTCCTTCCAACCGAGCAGAACATCTCAGAGATACTCCAAAAACAATATTTCTGATCTATAAAATGAACTTCTGTCCTCAACCTCGCGATCTCAGGTCTGTCTGGAGCTAAGCAGATTTATAACCTTCAGGAATTGTGAAGAAACTTTGGCAATTAAGACAGCACAGTTCAATTCAAGAGGCCAGGCTCAGTGTGGGAAGGCAGGAGCAAGGACAGGAGGCCATTGTTATGGAAAAGGCCTGCAAAAGATCACCTGAGATGTGGACAAGCTCTTGAGACACTGAAGTCAGCTTTTTAACGTTACCAGAAATGAAGACAGACTTCCTTCCAGGCAGAGACGACGTTTCCGATGGGTGTCACAGGAGGTGTGTGCTCCAGAACAAATATAAGTAAATATTCTGTTGTGCCCTTTCCTGAGCTTTCGGTAACACCAGTCAGTTTTTGCCAGCTCAGGCCCACATGGCAGGTGGGAATTCAAGTCACTAAGTCTTTCAACAGAACGAAGAAAATATCTCTGCAAGAGAAAGAGCCAAGTCACACCAGCCCTCACACCTGAAAGATTTAGTTACTGGTTTATTCCTGTAGCCTCTTAAGACTTCAATTCTAAACTGTTACTTAGTTATTAAATGTTGGTCTCAGACAGACAGGATTCACAAGGAATTAAAAAGGGGGTGATGTTTTCCTTGGACTAGAGTCTGTAGTTAGTGATTTAAAGAAAATCAAATGTATTAAAAAAAAAAAAGGGAAGAAGTGAACCAGTTATAATACAAGCCAAACTCCTACTTCTTAAATCCCTACAGAAGGTTTCAAGATGACCTAAGTGAAATAAAAAAAATTTTTGGCTTACATGAATTTAAAGACACAATTTCTGACATTTGACCTGCCTGGGGGGCTTATCCTGATTTGTAAAGAGACTGTAGACACATCTGCGTGTTCCTTGAAATGACTAGTGCCTCACTATGGCTCACGATTTCTGCCACCATCACCCCCCACTGGCCACTGTTAGTAATTACAGACTATTTTTAATCGACTATGGTACCTGGCTATTTTAGTAAAGCTACAGAAGAGAAATCTCAGACTGTTGCTTGGGAGCATGGAGGGTATTTACATTGCGAACACCACTACGGTGTTTCAGGAGAGCACACAGCCTAAACTTCAGGGAGAAAAAGCAGAGAACAATAGGAAGTTCCATGAAATTGTAACATCACACGCCCCTGGTAGACACTCGGGGTGTGTGTGTTCCTTCAGTTGTCTTTGCAGTGGAAGCACGACAACGGGTGAAGGAGCCTGATCCCCATGGTACATACAGGACCCCCAATGTTTTCAAGATGTTCCAAATGGTGTGTGCCCCCAACTCAGCAGGCCCTCTGCTTGCCTTATGTGTGTGATCTTGTTCCGACATCATGATGGCAGGACTGAGCTTGTAAAACCGGGACCTCTATTTCAGGTGTCCAACGTGATGCTTAAGGAGGGTATCTTTTATGTAACACAGTGGAACTGGCGCTGCTCCAGCCAGACCACAAAGCCTGCTCTGCCCTGCCCTGCCCTGCCCTGCCCGGGAAGGAAGTCAGACAGGGTGACAGGCATATGGAGCGGGATGAGGCCCAGGCAGCTCAGGCCAGCTGCTGTCACAGCCCTTTGTGGCCTGGGTACCTAAACCTGGCCCTGTACTTGATCAGCAGAGGAGGAGAACTTGACCCCGTCTTTCCCCTTCCCACACTCACTTCGCTCCTTTCTCAGCTCCTCTTTGGATTCTGCATGATCAAAACAGATCCTCCTCCTACCAAAATGCACCCTTGGCAAGGGAACAGTGTCTTTTTATATTTGCGTTCTGATGGAGTCAGAAAAGTTTGAGAATCACTCTTTATTTTAAAAAAGAACTTTTGGGCCTCCCCAGTGGCACAGTGGGTTGAGCGCAGCGCTGTGAAGCTGTACGCAGCCTCTGCAGTGCTGGTTCGATTCCTGGCTGGCCAAGGAGATTCCCACATGGCGCAGCAGACCTCTCCTGTCTCCCCTCTGCTCCCTTCAGCAGTGTATGTCAGTCATCTGCCTGTTCTGTTCCCTGCTCTGTCTCTGGTGAATCCTCTCACCCTCCTGCGCCTCTGGCCTGTAACCTGGTTCTTGTATAAATAAAAAATATTTTTAAAAAAATTAAAAAAAAGAACTTTTTCAGGAAGAGACTAAACAAATAGGGAACACACTCGGTCCCTGGGATCTTGGCCTTTTTTTTTTCCGCATTCCTGTTTCCCTGGGTGGATGCTCCTCCCAGGACTGCTTCCTCCATCTCTCCACTGGCAAGGACTTCCTGCACTCAGCAGCAGCATGCGTGCCTTCACGCACCCCCTGCCTCCAGGGCAGGGCATCTGCTCCCATTGTCAGCATAGTGCTGGGCCAGCCACCTTGGACGTGCTGGGGGAGCAGCCTGCTGCTACATCAGAGTTGTTCCTTATTCACAGCCCACGAGACTTGGATAAGATCTGATGCTGTGCCAACTGCTGAGCTTTTATGGGCACCGTAGAGGAAGAAAACCAATGATTTTTAGATTCTCTGAGCAGGGCCCCGCAAATTAGACTGAAAAAAGGCAGATAAACGAAGGAAACACGACGATCTGTGTGGCACATGGACATGGGAGCACCAGCAATGAGCAGCCCCAGGGATGGTGAGCACATAACTCCTAGGCAGCTCAACAGGAGAACCACCCGCTGGTAGAGGAGAGACACGCAAGGACTTGGAGTGTCATCTCTGGGCTGATGAGGGTCTTCTGTGGCCCCTGCTGATTAATTTGTCCGTGGTAAAGATGGGAAGGCAGGAGGCATTAAACTGATGTGCTGCTTGTAGGCAGGTGGGGAAGGGTTCTCAGTTACCTTCAGCTCAAAGTAAGCCTCTGGCCAAAGCGGTGTGTTCAGAGGTGGCATATTCTGCTTCCTGGCAGCACCTTGTGCCATGCTCTGCACACAGCAGGTGCTTCATACACATTTACCAAATTGAGCTAGAAATGGGGAGCAAGGGCCACTTCTTTTCTCACCAGTGTCTGCTTACAGTTTACCCTGCCCCACAGTCCAAGTGGCTGGGAAGCTTTGTGAGGTTCAGGGGAGCCCAGGAGGCAGGTGCTGGCTGAGCCAGAAGGCCTGGAGGGACCTGGAGGGACCACTTCGTCTCCTCTCTTGGGATGCTGGGGACACAGCATCAAGTGATGGCTAGGAAGACACTGGAGGAGAGTTTATACAGATGCAAGGTATTATTATCTCTTGTGCAGGCTCCAAAAGCCAAAAATTATAAGGAGCAGTTAGCTAATGCTGGCTAGTTGTGTTAAGTACTGTTTACTCCTGAAGAAAGGAAGCCATACATAACCCTCAGTGATACTCTCTCACAGGTACGAATTAGGAGCCGCTCTATTCATTGGCTGGGCAGGAGCCTCACTCTGCATAATTGGTGGTGTCATATTTTGCTTTTCAATATCTGACAACAACAAAACACCCAGGTATGGAAAAATAGATGAAAATGACCTGTTAAAAAGTACAATATTGCTCTGAATTATTCTAAGTGGGACAAATTCTAGATAGTTCCTATGATTCTAAGAAACTTCCAAAGACCACAAGGGTAGGAACATATAGGAACTATAACATTATTAAATATAGTAAAACTATAGTAAAGACAGCAGTATCATTGTAGTTTTTTAGAAACTGGAGCTCACACTTCTTACATTCATAAGCTACTCCTGTCGGTAGAGATATGAGTCTAAGGGTGCGGGCGCAATCTTCATCTTGGCCTCCTCCTGATTTTCACACGTGCAGAAATTGCTGGGTCACCCGCTGTGGCCTAGGTTCCCAGAAGATCTTTTAAAAAACCGTTTTGAAGGAGAGTAACTGAGCAAATGGACAGGCCATAGGTTTCTTCTGCACAGATTCTCTTTGCCACAGCAAACATTCAGAAATAACATTGAAATATTTCTGTGGGCGAGAGGGGGGGAGAAAGCTAAGTTAAGAGTTACCAGCAGAAGACTTCAGCTTAGCTATGGACAGACACGGGCAGGAGAGTGTCCTTCCTTTGTGTTTGCCCTGTGGGGCGAGGATGAAATGTACCAGACTATGTTTTGTCTTTCAGGATGGGCTACTCTTACAACGGGGCCACGTCTGTCATGTCTTCTAGGACAAAGTATCACGGCGGAGGAGATTTTAAACCCACAAACCCTTCGAAACAGTTTGATAAAAATGCTTACGTCTGAAAGCTGTCTTGAGTTTGTTGTAAAAGTGAACTGTTCACAAAATGATCCCAGGGGTCCCTCCGATAATTAACACTCGAAACTATTTTTAAAAATATGAATTTGGAGAATTGGTTGATTGTGTGGATGTAAATGTTCTTGACAGAGTTACTAATCATTTTCTGTTGTGGCTTTCTATAAAAAAAAATAAACATTATTTACAGAACCTGTATATGTTTTATGGCTGCTTAGGACATGGAAAGTCTTTAAGCACCAAGGGTTTGAGAAATATTCTAATGCCATTCAGATGTGGAGGTCTTTGTCCCTGTTCCTTGTTTCTTTTCTCCTTCTTCCTCCCGTATTAAACAGAAGGTGTATAAGGAGGGGAGTCTTGTCCACAGTGTGGGAGCAGTCAGGTCACCCTGCACGTGATGGTTGGGTTGAATGGCGATGTCACTGGCTGCATGGGTGCGAATTTCTTATTCCTGCCTCTGACTTTACGGGGGTGCTTGAGAGGCCGTGGAATGTCTGCCTGCATGTCTGCCTTAAATAACTGTTTAGGCTTCTCATATACAGAAAGTGGATTCCAGTGCAGAGCATCAGCAGAGCTGAGCTAAGGGACACAAGTCATTGCTGACTGCGGGGCCGACAGTCCTGGCGCCTGCGTGGTACCCCCCGCCCCAGCCACCAGCCGCCGGAGTTCCGGGCGCCTCTCAGTCCTGTGTGTGGCACTAACTGGATAATGGAGAGACCTGCTGTCTTCCAAGATCTGTAAGTTGCTCCAGTAATTGCTGAACAAAGACACAGTTTTGTTCCTAGAGTCAGCTTTTTGACAGCATGCCCGTCAGTTTACCCGTGGTCAGGAAAGGAGAATAAAATGAAGGTGCCAACTAGAGATTAAATGTTAAAAATAGCTTTTCCAGGGTCGTTGAGTTTAAATATGAAGCTGCTTCAGAAGTGCCTTGAGCCACTGAAATGGCTTTGTGCTAAGCATTCCACTGGACTTTGACTCTAGAAATGTCTTTTTGAGGGTCATGGAGGGGTGGCATGGGGAGAAGAGAAAGGATACCCCCCGGGGTTCCCTTCTGCCCTGTGCACTTATAGTCACTGTGATGAACACACCATCTTTGGGGTTTTCATCTATTGGGATGTCTTTAGATGTGGCACAGATAATGCCGGCTGCCGAGCAGGGGAAACGCCACCATCTGATGATGTGCAAGGAGAGGCACAGCTCACACGCAGGTGACAGAAAAGGGACAGTAAGGGCAGAGGCAGCCCAGTGGAAAGAGCATGCGCAGAGGTGGATGGATTATTAATTAAAAATGACAAACGGGTTCAAAATTACTGAAACGGGAGGCGTGAGAAGGGAAAATAAGCCTGATCCTCATCTATCTTAAGCTCTAAAGATGATGAGTCTAGGAATGGGGGCGTAAGCTCACCATGCAGAAACCTGGGGATGTCCTCATGGGCACTAGCCCAGAAGTCATGAGGGGCAGTGCAGGTGGGGAGACCAGGCCTGGGGGACCCTGCTGTACTCTTGACTTTCACCATGTGTAAGAATTACTGGGATATAAAAAAAAATATTAACTACATTTTTCTAATTAAAAAAATTAAATGTAGCCAGTGAGCACGGACTGGACTTTTCCTGACTCTAGAGCAAGTGGACAGGATCAGCGTCCACGCACGGCTTCACTTGTCATTCATCCCACTGGGTACAGGATCTTTCTCTTTGGAAGAAAAGAAAGAATTGGACGTGGAAGCAGATCACTACAGGGAGACTGCCAGAAGAAAGGTCGCATACAGGTATATGATCAGAAATTTTAATTTCTATGGGGTACCTGCATGAAGAGAATATATGGGCATTTTCAAAAATAATATTTTAAAAACATAAAGACTAAAGGTTAGATCTAAAGTTGAAATAAAAAGGGTTAGTAAATATATACAAATCAGGAAGTCGTACACATTCAGGCCTGATGAAACAACACAAAGCATTACGTACTTTGTTGCTATATGAGCAGAGCTTCATTAGATAAGCACAAAGACTAGTTAGATATTTATAAAGATGAAACACAAAGAACTGGACAAGGGAACTTCTGCCAGAGGCTAAAACATCGAACCTTCTCCCTTTAGCCCTTTAGGATTAGCTGCAGCCCAGGCACTTGGCACTTGAGTAGAATGTGGTTCCTTCTTCATGGGTGGAGGTTCCTTCTGCTCTTTTCCAGTTTTTTTCCCCAAAGATGGTTCTTCCTCCAAGGATGATATGTCCCAATCGGCGTCATCCACATCTGTGCACTGAAAGAAATTCACGGGACGTAATTAATGTTTCCTAAAGAAACACGGGAGGCCTCCCTGGTGGCACAAGGGGTTAAGCACCGCACTATGAAGCAAACCGCAGCCTCTGCAGCACAAGTTCGATCCCCAGCCCCTGGCTACCACATGGCGCGGCAGACCTCTCCTATCTCGCCCGCTGCTCCCCTCAGCAGTGTACTTCGGTCAATCTGCCTGTTCTGTTCCCGCTATGTCTCTGGTGAAACCTCTCGCCCTCCGCATCTCTGGCCTGCACCCCAGCTCTTATATGCATAAATAAATAAATCTTAAAAAAAAAAAAAACCACGGAGCCCCTCGATCCTTTTGTGAGCAGGACAGAGCTGCTGAGACTGAAGGATAAGCAGCTGGGAAGCTCAGGGGACCCCCGCCATCTGGTTAATTTGGAGGGCAATGAAATGACTGAATTTGGAGATCTGTCTTGAAAGTGGAAGGGGTCCCCTATTTGTTTCTCGCCATGCAAATGCATGTTTGCTTTGTCTAGCGATCATGAATTTAGAAAATTCCAGAAACACTATGTTCTAGAAGACAAGTTCAGGTGCTATCCCAGAAGGAGCCAGCCTGAGGCGTTTCACCTCTGTGTGATGCTGACATTTAACCAGTGGAGAGTCCACCTGGGGGCCCTGAGGAACAGTCCCCAGGGGAAGCAGCATAGTAATAAGGAAGGCACAATGTTGGCTTACATGACAAATGACACTAACACAAGTTAGATAAAATGTTCCAGGTTCCATAGATGAACAGAAGAATTTAAGTGAAAAATTAGAAACTGTAGTTGTTCAGATGAGTGAGTGGTACCCACAAATACTAGGGGATACCTCCAGCCACACAAACATGCTAGAAACCACTTGGGACGTGTCAGGGTGTCCTCCTGTCAGACAGGAGCCCGGCTCTGCTCCTGGCTCAGTTCACGTGTCTCCCTGAAGCATTTCTCTATCCACTCCGACTCCCATGTAGGGGTCACCCCTGCAAAGTCCCTACTTTACTCCCCAGTCCTGGGGCTGGGAGCTGGAGGCCTGACATTCTAACCCATCACAAGCTGCTGTATACAAACCATTTAAAATCTGCAGACATCAAATAATAGGGGCAGAACTTCTGAAAAGCCTCTAAAGTTTGATAATCATATGATGGGTTAACAGCAGCTATTCTAAAACTTTGATTCTCTGTGGAATGGGAAGACGTGCAATACTGGAGACAAGGTAACATGTCAATCTCCGCTATACAAGATCATTTTATTTTCTATTTCAATGCAAAAAATATGATTATTAAAGCATATTCATTAAAACAGGAATATACTTCTCTGTGTATGTTTAGCAAGAAAAAGCAATTTCACCTTGAGTTCTTCTTGTAGTTCTTTTCTGATGAACATCTCAGCAACATTAATCCCACCAATTGGTTTATTCCCATTTCTGTGATTTGAAACCGTCTTTTCAACTTTTTCAGTAAGTGTTTTAATGGAGGTTCCTGTATGACCAATAGAAGGGAGTCAGGTGAAGTTATTTTTAAAAACTGTACCTATCTTCAGTTCTAGAGTAACCTGATGAGCGGCTTGGAAAAAGTCCAGGCTTAGTAACTAATTATGTATCATTAAAATAAAGCCAACTGATATATTTGGGTGGCTAAAATAAAGTTTTAGTAAACACGCAGAATTGCTTTTTAAAAAATCATGATCCAAAAAATGATGCATTAAGATTTTCATTTAAGGGCCTCCCCAGTGGTGCAGTGGTTGAGCGCTGGGTTCCAAGGCTGCTCACAGCCTCTGCAGCACCAGTTCAATCCCTGGCTGCCGAAGCGAGGGTCCCACATGTCGTGCAGACCTCTCCTGCCGCCCACTGCTCCCCTCAGCAGTGTATTTCGTCAGTCTGCCTGTTCTGCTGCCCGCTCTGGTGAATTCTCTCACCCTCCCGCGCTTCTGACTGTACATATTGCTTGTATGAATAAATAAATCTTTTTTTAAAAAAGATTTTCATTTAAAATCAGAGAAAAATGGTTGCATTCACCGACATGGTCAGAAACTTTTAATTTGGCAAGGTAACTTGCATGAATGGAATATTCAAATGGGTATTTTCAGAAAGAATACTAATACTTTTAAATGAATTGTTGTATTTAACATAATTATGGAGCAATATAATATATACATGGAATAAAAATCATATGCAATAAATCAATTACATCTACTATATTTAAAATACATGTTAAAATTTGCATTGAACAGAATTTCTTTTTGGAAAAATGGACTTTCTGCCCCACTAGTCTTCAGCAAATTACAGCATTTGCAGACCTGAACCTTATGTTCCTTTAGAAGTACCCCGAGCCCTGCCCGCTGCTCCCCTCAGCAGTGTACTTTTGTCCATCTGCCTGTTCTGTTCCTCAGTCTGTCTCTGGTGATGCCTCTCACCCCCCACATCTCTGGCCTGGTACCCCTGCTCTTGTATATATAAATAAATAAATCTTTAAAAAAAAAGAAGTACCCCAAGTCCAGGTGAGGGCATTAGGGTGAACCCTAATGGTCTATGACCAGTGTCTATATCAAAAAGGGAGATCTGGACACAGGTGGGTGCAGAGGGAAGTTGTGGGGAGACACCAACCTATGGAGGGGTTGAACGCCCCAGGAAGAACCAATCTCATCACTCTCGATACTGAACTTCCAGCCGCCCCTGTGACAATGTCTACTGTTAGGTGCTTTGTTACAGCAGCCCCAGGAAAGGAATACACCCAGGCTTCCCTAACGCCTTCCTCCCCTGTGAACCCTAGGGAATGCTAGGCCTGGTCTCCTTTCCCCCACCGAGGTAACTTTTCCAGGGGTCCCGCCCTTTCTTCCAGCCCGTTCACACCCCGGCTCTTACTGCTTCCCCAGCCCCCATCCTGTGAACCGCCCCAGACAGAATTCCCCAAAGAATTTTCCATGATAAAACTCACCTGTGGGCTTGGGGGAAATATCGGAGTCCTCCATTTCGCTTCCCTCAGTCCAGTCGGTGTCACTTTTGACAGAGTTCCTTGCAAAGCTACTCTTGGTGCCTTTAGCCGTCCGAACAGGAAGTAAGTCCGGGGACGTGAAGGCCTGGATAAAGTCGTCTTCCTCCGCCTCATCTTCTGAGCTAAAGGGAGGGGTCCTAAACAAAACAAACCCAAAGAGGGGGCGTTGATTTCCTCAGTTTCAGTCCAAACGTTTGGGGTAAGGAGGAGAAAACGTCCTCAGGAAATGCCCTAAAACACCCACGTGATCACAGAACAAGATGGCGGCGAGGCCCAGGACTGCGAACAAGGCCCAACAGAAACCGGCCCGTTTTGCGGCATGACTATCAAAATGGACCAAAGTTTCCATGTGTCTCCTCTAAACCCAAACTTGTAATATCCTTAGTAGTCCTGGCTTTATTCAGCTAAGGAAACTATTTCTCAATGTAGGAAGTAAAAAGATTTCTGCAAAAAAATGCTTCCATCTTTTAAAACAGTGCCTTAACTTTTCACTGCCCCTTACAGTGTTTTTAAACACACTACCTTGTTTGTATTAGCACAGGATCATCCCATTTAAAAAGTGAACTAGAAGTTTGAGAAGAGTGTTCATTTATTTATTTTTAAAGATTGATTTATTCATTTATTTATGCATACAAGAGCTGGGGTACAGGCCAGAGATGCGGGGGATGGGAGGATCCACCAGAGACAGAGTAGGGAGCAGAACAGGCAGGCTGACTGAAATACACTGCTGAGGCGAGCAGCGGGTGAAACAGGAGAGGTCTGCTGTGCTATGTGGGTAGCTCCCTGAGTGGCCCGGCTCCAACTGGCGCTGCAGAGGCTGCGGACAGCTTCACAGCGCTGAGCTCAACCGCCTGCGCCACCAGGGAGGCCTGTTCATTTATTTTAAAACTATTCACTGAGCACCTAAATTCTAGACAAAGTTTAGTTACACTCTGTCCCATGTAATAAACCTCTTCCCATGAGATTGTGGATATGAAGAGTGCTTTTAGAGGGTTAGTCATTATTTAATTTGTCTCTATCATATTTACATGTATACTATGTCTACTATATCTAATTTATATTGTCTCTACATGCACAGGACCTCAGTGAAGTGCTATTTATATTTATGGCATCAATCTTGAGTATAAAGCAACAATGATGAATTTAAATTTTAATAAAACTAATGTTATCATAATTGATAACAATATACCTACAATTTATTGACTACCCACAAGTGCCCAACACTGAGTCTTACCCTTTTCAGATGCCCTCATTTAATTTGTAGAACTATCCATAATAGATACGAAAACTAACAGAATCTCAGTGGCATAGTGAGTGAGTGACTGAACTGGGATTCGTGGCAGTCTCAGAGCGCCAAAGAGAATAAGGTCTAGGGTCATTAACAACTTCCACAGGGAGCATGAACACTAAAATGATATCTGACTGCACTGCTGTGGATCCAGTCATTAAAACTCAACATCAGTCATTTATCATGTTTGTTGAAAATTACCGGACTATGGGACACTGAGTGGAGGGAGTGGGTGGGATTATTGAAACAAGTCAGGTGTAGTGCCACTTCTTAATGGGAGCCATACTGTGATAAGTGTGATTGACTTACGGAATATCCAGTAAAGAAACAAACATTTGTCACAAAGGAATCACAGATTAATTGAATCACTTAATAATTGTGGCTTCAGTTAACCACAATGAGCATCCTAAAATAAGAGGGATGTTCAGTGAAAAGAATTTTTCATATTATACACACCCACAACACCCCCTCCCCCTGACAAGTACTCACGTAATGGATGAAGACTTTCTGGGAAAATGATCTTCTACGATATTTTTCTTAATTCTAAAGAAAAAAAAAGAGAGAGTGAGAAATACTTCTAAGTGGCATAATTGAATTTAGCAAAGATTTCTAGGGAATTGGTGATTTTGTTTTTAATATATATCAAGGAAGGGAAGTAGCAGCAAGTCTACCAGTGATGATAAGATGGGTAGGAATTTCAAGGGTAATTTCTGTTGAGTCAAACGTCCTGGGTTTGTGCCCCCCTGAAATTTATACATTAAAGCCCTAAGCCCCAATTTGACAGTGTCTGGAGGTAGAGCAAGGTCAGGTTTTAGTGAGGTTGTCTTCCTGGGCTTGTAGATGGTCCACCTTCTCACTCACTTTGCCCTTCCATGGCAGGGTGGGGGGTGAGGAGGGGTGGGGGAGAGAGAAGGAGAGAGAGAGAGAGAGAGAGAGAGAGAGAGAGAGAGAGAGAGAGATGGGTGGGGGTTGGGGGACAGATGCTGGCCTCTCTTTGCTTATAAGGACCCTAATCCCTTCTTGGGGGCCCCACCTTCATCACCTTCCAAAGGCTCCACTTCCTGATCTCAGCATTCCAGCCTCCAGAAGTGTGAGAAAATAAATGTAGGTTATTTAATGCATCTACCTACATTTTTTATGGCAGCCCAAGCTATGAAAGACATTAGTAAAAAAACTTTAGGGTTTAAAAAATACTCACACTGGAACGGATGTCTTATCTGTGAAAACGGGTTTTTGTCTAACCAGTTGTCTGCTTTTGGGAGGAAGTTGTGTCCCCTTGGGTAGTTCTCCAGTAGAAAGGCTCTCCACTTGAGAAAGACTGAGCTTCTCTGGAATGGTGGTATCATTCATATAACCCAGTGTCCTTTCTGATCACATGGAAAAGCAGAACACGATACTGTTTATGCTGGCACTGAAACAAACAAGCCCATCCCTGGGGTCTAGAATCCAGGCTACAAGTTTGGTTTTTTTTAAAATTTAAAAACAAAATATAAGACCCAATATATAATGGTTCAAATAGTCATAGAGTTGTCAATTAAGTCTCAAGGTTTATGAGCCTTTGAAGATTATGAAGACATTGTCCAATTTCACTCCCTCTGCAGAAATGAAATGGCAGCTGGTGATAGGCTTACCTGAAGACAGTAATATTCTCTCCTCGATCTGAGAGCTGACCTGATGTTCAAGAGACTTTCGAATCTGCTGAATGTTAGGTATTTGTTTTTCTCTCTCATGTCTTGCGATTTCCACGGACCTTAATACTTTATTCAAGTATTCGCTTGGAATACCACGTACATCCTGCAGGAATAAAACGCTCTGTCAATCAACTATCCTGGGATGTTTTTCTCATTTCATGGACATGAACATTAATTGGGCCAACGTTTTGTCCTTAGAGCAGCAGGTGATACCTCAACATGTAACACACAGGCTTGGCCCCCAAAGGATCTCACAGTTTAGGTGGGCATGGAAGACACGTGTATGATAAAACATGACAGGTTGGCAAGATATGAGTGTAGCACCCATGGCACAGAAGACAATAAACCAGGACTGATAAAACAGAAAGGCAAGGTGTGTGATACAGACTGAATGAGTCCGCGAGGGAGGGAAGCCACAGGAGGCCCCTGTGGTGTGAGAAGCCTCAGGGGAAAGCTGGGCTGTGCCCTGAAGAATGGGCAAACAAGTAGACAAGAATGAGTCAAACAAGTAGACAAGAGCTAATATTGATTAAAGAAAGGCAAAAGAGTCTTTGAGGCTATTGGAAATGATCAATCTCTTGAACTGGGTGATGGTTACAGATCATACACACGTGTATGTACAAATCTGTATATATATTTGTACATACAGATAATTTGAATACACACAAATGTAGGCACATGTGTATATGCACATTTGTATATGTATAAAAACATATATATATGTATAGGGGCACAAACATATCCCCCACGCAATGTACACATAGGCACATGCGTGTAAACACAGAACTATGTACACAGTAAAAACACACATCTGTGCACCTGTTTATACTCATTGTAGATGCATGCACCTGTGCACATGCATGTACACATCGGCTTTGCATACACACCCATACATGCACGCAGGGATATGCAGACACACATATACGTACAGGTATATAAATTCAAGTTGTTCAGTTAAGATTGATGTATTTTATGTATGTTGATAAAATATGTAAAGAGCAGTGAGCATAAACAACAAGATGTAAAAGAATTATCAATCTGGCAACAACAAGAAAAACAACCCATTCAGTCATTCATTTAGCAGGTATTACATACAGGCTGATTTTGTAAGCGGCCGTGATGTGAGGTTAAGTATTGGAAGTAAGCAGCACCATAAATACCTGGATGGAAACCCTGGCTCCTTCTTTTCCAGCCATGTCACCTGAAGCATGTTATGCAACCTCTCCAAAATGGAGTTAGTGCTGTCACTTGCCTCACAGAGTTGTTTCTTTGTTTAAGTGAGCTCATATTTGCACCTGTCTTAGAAAGGTGCCAGGCACAGAGTAATGCTAGCTCATGCTTCAGAAATCATGTCACCTCAGTCTCCAGGCTGCGAATGTGGATAGGACTGACAGGTTACCTTCTTTGCTCTGATCCTTCCTTACTTAGAAAACAAAACGAGCAAGTATTTCAAAAATGAATGCACTTACTGCATTAATCCCCAAGGTTTCCAGTTTCTCCACCAAACTTTGCTCCAAGACAGCTTTGATTTCCTTCGTGAGGGTGGGGTTATTCTTCAAGGTTTTTCTTAAATGTACCTTGTTGTTATTTAATTTCTGTTCATTTTCTCTTCCTGAAATAAGGTTTTTAAAAAGTACATTAACAAAGTGTGAAACAAATACAGAAAATGGCAAAACACAACTCTGAACGGCAAGGAAAGATTTGTAATGTCTTTGAATTTTGGGACATTTCAGCCATTCAGCACAATATAAAATACTTAAGTATCATAACCTTAAAAACTTCAGACTCTTTCCGATCACTTAATCAAGTTATAGCTAAATAATGCAAGAAACGAACATGTCTAAAGAAGGGCAGTGAAAAAAACTTATTTAGAGGTTTATTATTTTATTCCCAAATTATTTTACTATTCCCTGAAGAATTATTTTACTATTAAATTATTTTACTATTCCCTGAAGAATCCATTTCTCCTAAATTCAAAATCATTTTATGAAGAAAAAGCCCGTTTTTTTCTTGAGTTGTTATTAAGCAACACATTTTGCAGAAGTTCATATAAAGTTTCAAAAGTGAAAACTAACATTCCTCTCGAAATATTCACTGAAATGAAAAAGAAATGGACTAAAGTCTCAGGGGAAGTATACTTTGTTTAAAACAACCCATCATTTAAAATAATGAAAAAAAAATTGGTCAGATTCTCCTAACTGTTCCTTCCCTAATCCTCCTCTCTTACTCCCTACTAAAAATGTTTTTTGTTTTTTTGTTTTTCCAGAGAACATGGAGAGGGAGAGCGATTGCCTGACCTCTGAAGAACTGACTTCTATGTCAAAGGAATCTGGGGTTTGATGAGAGACCAACGCTTGCAGCTCAGCCTGAGCGGATGCAGAGCCAGCCCCAGGAGACAGGCAGCAACGGAACAATTATTTTAGAGTCTATTCTTGGAACAGGGGTGTTCACCAAAAAGGGTGGCATAAATGTCGGCGCTTTGGTCTGGGGGTACTGGGGGTCCCCATATAGTCCATTATTCCATGGTCTCCTCCATCTCAGTAGAAGGGATTTTTAGGAACCATAGCACATGGATTTGTAGATTTTGAAGAAAATGATTTGAAACGGTTCCTAAGCCAGAGTTCTAGTCCAGCAGTCAAGAGTATTTCTGATTATGAATAAACAGTTTTGCTGGAAGCAGAATCAGTCAAATTACTATGGCACATTTAATAGGAACAAGGGAGACTGCGTGGAGATGCTGGTCTATACTCTGCTACTGCAGCTGGCGGAGTCAAAACCAGGAATTTTCATGATTATACAGGGTTAAAAATCAATGTGTCTTAAAATTTATTTCCTCAATATTCCTGCTGCTGTTTTCCCACTCATGTTTTCCAATATATTTTTTAAAGATTTATTTATTTATGCATAAAAGAATTATGGTACAGGCCAGAGGTGCAGGGGTGTGTGTGAGAGGATTCACCAGAGACAGAGTGGGGAACAGAACAGGCAGATGGACTGAAATACACTGCTGCAGGGAGCAGTGGGTGAGACAGGAGAGGTCTGCTGCATCATGTGGGTAACTCCCTGGCTGGGGATCGAACTGGTAATGTAGAGGCTGCAGATGGCTTCATAGTGCTGCATCTTAACACTTTGTACCACCAAGGAGGCCTGTTTTCCAGTATTCTTAAACCACATAAACATACAGAAATAAGCACTTCTGTCCTAGGAGCTGGTGATCCCTCAAAATCTAGAGGGCCAGGCTGCAGTCATGGCTGTGTCCTGGGGTTTGGCTGCTCGCTGGTCAAGACTGCAACTATCTGGGGTTACAACTACCAGGAGGCGCTGAGACAGAGCCTGGGAGGCATGGCACGGCCACTGCCACACTTTGCAAAGGGAAACAATGCAACAATGCAAAGGGAACCAGGGGCAGGACTAGGATGGACAGGAGCTGCGCAGAAACACAGCCTCAGAGAGGCTTCCCGCCCTGTCTGCTCTGGGGAAGAGGGGCCACATGCAGGGGCACAGCGATGGGAGAAAGGCTTGGCCATGGTTTGCTTAGACGAACGGTTAAGTTGACGAATTCATTGGTTGATTGGTCTAGGTCACCCTCAACCCTCATGACAAGTTCATTGTGATGACCGAATTCCCCAAATGACCACTCATTGAACTTCTGCTCTGCGGGATGGTGTCCCTTCTGTATAGAAATCTGCCTATAGAACTAAAACTACCAGAAGGGGTGGGGAGGGAGCACAATGGATGAGGGTGGAGGATTACAGGTGGTTTGATAACACCTGAAAGGGGAGATTCTATCCTCTAACAATGTTCTAAACTAATGTTACCCCAATAAAATAAAATAAAATAAAATGGAGATAAAATAAAATAAATAAAAATAAACTTTTCCCTCTGTCCTTAATTCACTTTACATGTTGGCGCTTGCTTTGGACTGCTCTATGAATGATTAGAAAACCCGTGGGTTCCCTTCCGAGGAAGGACTCATACAAGCTGGGATTAGCTAATGGACGTGAAAGGAAAAATCCCGAGTGGACAGGAAAAAAAAAGTTTTTATGTAAGGGTGGAATCAACCCCTTGAAAGCCAAGCACAGTGGAAGATTTTAGTTAAAGCAGGTATTACTCACTGAGATCAACAAGACAGAACTTTCTAGAGAGCAACATTTCCTCTCCTTAAAATCTTAATGCATGCACAATGGCCCACACGTGTGGTCAGTTACATCAGACATATAAAAAACTGTAGTGCACAGCTAGCTGCATAAAAACAAAACAAACCACAGCTCCCCATATCAGAAATTCTGAGTTGGGAGGGACTTTATCTAGTAATCCACTGCCTCATTTTTCAGAAGAGGATACAAAAGCCAGAGAGGTAAAGAGACTTCCTCAGAGATCACCTAGCTAGCTCTTGACCAGCTGGTCTTCCTACATCACTTTGTTTTTTTGCATTAAGCTACAGAAAGGAGAAAACGTAAATGGCAGTTTCAGTTTTGAATTAATTCAACTTGCTGGCCCATGAGCTCCTAATCCCCCTTTCAATTCAACTCGAGTGTCTAATAATAAAGTGACCTCAAAGATCCCTCCTGGCCCTCACGTTCTAATCCTCATAGAACCACAAGATCGGTATCTCTAGCAACTGCCAAAATGGAAGGTTGCAGAAACACTCGTGTGTGAAGTAACTTCTTGATGAGGGACATGGTATTTTTGCAAAACCCTTGCAAAAATTCACTTGCACAGGGGAAAATTCCTCTTGGAATCTGACTTGTTTTCTGAATGTGAATTCTCCTTCCTGGGGCTGTAGTTTCAAAATTGTGGGGCCTTTTTATGAGCCCCTGGACACATTTCATAGATTATTCAGAGAATAAGGAACTCTGTGTTCACGACATCAGTAAGTGACACTTGTTTGATATACAGAGTGCGTCACTGGCAAGTGAAATGAACAGATGCATCATGTCATGTTGCAGAAGAGCTCCAGTGTAGCCTTGTAAACAGTTCGTGAAAACTGGAGAAAGTCCAGAGACCACACGAGTTGTAACAAATATTTACACATTGAGGTAAATAATTTTATTTCTCTTCCTACCAAAAACTGACAAAATCAGAGCCCATACAAATATTAACAATTTGTTACTTCCTAAAAAGAACGTGATCTGTAATTAAGCATCATTACATTAAGGAGAAAAGTGCTAAATTGATTCAAATATAACTGATCTACAAGGCGAGCATTTGAAGACTCTTTGTAATTAACCAAAATTCACAGACATCAAAAACTGATAGAAAATAATTTTAGAACTGCCAAATAAAATGCGAAAGCAGAAATAATGTTCATTGTTACCAGTAACAGCGTCCATATTCCAAAAAGATATTACTTGACACATAAACCACACTCGGAGCTTAGAAATTATGTTTTTCTTGCTATTAAAAATAATGTGCGAAGCAGGTACATGAACCATTCATTTCACAGATTGGGGCAAGAGAAAAAACTACTGTGATCTGAATATTTTTGTATCATCAGATAATCCAAAGCAAACTAGCTGCCCTGATTTTGACACAGCACAGTATAAACCACTTGATCAAATTTTCAAGTCTTGGATTTTCACATCTAAATAAGATCCTTGCCAGGATAAACCTGGATCAAGCCCTTTGTTACCTTTTTCTTCCTCTGAAAGTTCTTCTATTGGTTCCAGTATGTGCGATGAGAATGCCTGTTCTATTAATGAGGAAAAATAAGAATAGTACAAATAGGACAACAGCAAAGTAACATCAGTTTTCTTTCAAGCAATTCTGAAAGATAATTCCACAGTATTTTAATCATGCCAACAATAGAAAGAATTTACTGGGGGAAAAAATATCGAGGCTAGCAGTGAAAGCCAGTCTCTTTTTCATGGTTTCTTCTCTTCCTATATATTTTCCATTAACTCCATGCTCAGAAAATTAAAATCTTAAATAATTAAATGAATATTTCTCATTCTTCCACCTACTGCCTCATTGATTCTTTGAAGGCACAATGACACAACTGTAAAAGATCTTCCTTATCCCGAAAAATACTTTCCTTATAAAATATTTTGATCATGCAGTGATCAAACAACTGAAAATATTGTCATTCCTCAAGATAAAAACATTCAAAATTCCCACTGGGTCCCCAAGCTGCATTGCAAGACCTGGTCCTACTCCTGGGTGAGGGCAAGGTTGAGCGATGACAGGTAAAGAAGGGTTTCCCCAGGACTGGAGGGGGAGATGTGGGTTCTGGGTGACTCCCAGGGAGAAGTCACTGTGCATCCCCAAGGAAACCCAACGGACAGCCAGGACAAAGCCAATCCCCATCCTATCAACTGAGAGAAGTTTCCTCTAGGAGGAGGGAGGTATGGGCCCCTGGTCAGCCCTCAGGCATTAGGCGCAGAATGAAATGCAAGCAGCAAGCCTGGCTGAGGAAGTGACAGCTTCCCTCCTCGGGTCAGCACAGAGATGGACTCAGGATGCCTCCCCTGAGAGCATTCCACCTGCACCTGCCAGAGGCTGCTCCCTCCTACCGCTGGACACCAGAATGGTGGCAGTTGAGGGTAATAATGGCCAGCAAGTGCTTACCGGGGCTCAGGCAGAGATCATAGAGCTTTAAATGAACTCTCTCAGATTTCATAGCCCCTGCTTGGAAGGTCTGGCTTTTAATTGATTAAAGGGTCTCGCTTGTACTCTATGTCAGATATGCACACTCACACATAAATGTACACACAAGTAAATACACGTGCACATTTACAATATTTAGCTATGTAGAGACTGGCTTGAAGAGACTGGCCAGAACGTAGCCATCCTACCAATCGTTGACGGTAGCGGAGCACTGCATCTTAAAAACTTTGCGATGTACTTTGGAACTAGCCTGTCAGTAAGCAGGAGCCCACTTTAATTCTGAAGCATGAATGCTCCCCAGCCAGCAACCCCAACCCCTGAGGAGCATTTAAGTCCATCCATGCATCACTGCTGCTCAACACCAAATGTGTGCTTTCAAATTTCGAGATTTTTAAATTACACAGACTATTTTACTAGTTCGAACTGCTGAAAACAGAGATTTGGGGAGGATGACTAATTTCAGTTTTTTAAAAGTCACAGGGTTTGTATTCTCTTGCACGTCTTTAAACATTTTCTTTTCAAGAAATGGCAAAAATAAGGTATGAGGAAAGGTTCTATAAAACCTCACAAAATCATCATATGCTTTATTTGTCATCATCCTGGGATGGGGACAGCCCTGTGACAGACTTCTCTGGGGTCAGCAAGAGTCTCCGGGGTGCTGGTTCTGGGGATAGGTAGGTTCCCAACTGGGGCTCTGGCGATACAGGGTGAGATGGACCAGCCCTAGCTGCAGAAGCCAGCAGGGCCTGCTGCTCTCCTCTCGCAAGACACAGGTCTAGGCTCCAAACCCTCCAGTTCCTGTCCTGAGCTGAGATCTCCTGGGTGTAAACTGAAACACAAGGGAGGCTTGAGCTTCCGCTTGGAACTTGCTGGAGCCTTCCAGAAAAATCCTTACATTAGACTCCTGCCGCTGCCTCCAGAAGGAAAATTCCCAGATCTCTACACGGCCCTCTTCCACGCGCTGCCCTCTTCCACGCTGTGACATCGGAACCTGGCAGCTGCGGTCAGTAGGGCTGCTCAGCGTTCCCTGCTCCAGAGGCCCGGCCTCCCTCGCTCCTCTATACCTGCCCCAACGTCTATTACGAGGCTCCCCGAGTGGCAGGCAAGGAAACGGAAGCCTAATGCTTCACGAGTCCACTGTGAGTCCAGACTCTCCCTCCAAGGTCCGGGCCTCCCCACTGGGTTTGTCTCCTGGAATTCTGCAGCCCACTGTCCTAGCTCACATGTTCACCGCTTCCCTCACCCTCGGCCCCCATCACCTGCACAAGCTTCCCCTCAATTCCGCTGACCCTCTGTTGTACCCACCCCCTCCTGTCTCATCACCTCAACCCAGTTCCCAGTGAGGACTGGCACTCGACTAACGGCCTCTGCTGCAGCTACACTTGGACCAGGGTCCCCTTCTGGCTCAGGGTTGCCCGAGTATTGTACAGTAAATCTCCCCCCCGCCAATCCTCTGCCTCAGTGTCCTGTTCTCGGGGAACCCAAGCTACAGGGCCAGCAGCCGTCATGTTTTTCATGGTAAAGGAGCTCACCAAGCTTTGAGGTGAGGTCATCGGACTAATTAACTTCATGCAGCTCAGGACTAGCCCTTCCCGCCCTCAACAGCCAGCAGGTCAGCCTGCTCCTTGCTCCTACCCATTGAGATGCTCACAAACCAGCTTTGATCCCAGCCCCAGGGCTGGCCCCCTGCCAGGTCTGGTTGGCATTTAAAACTAACATTCCAATCCCAGCAGATGCCAGTCACCGAGCATGGCCGGTACCTGCAGCCGATGGGGGTGGGGCCACTCGCAGCACAGTGCTTGAGAACCGATGGTTTGTTGGGGCCCCTGAATGAACCCGAGACAGCTAAACAGACCTGCTGTATGTGTCCTTTGTGGGGCAGCCAAATCATAACACCAAGGGAAGGTGGACCTCATGTAATGTCCTACAGGGGGCTAAGGCTCACAAAGTGGAAAAACGAACACTACAACAAAACCGAAACACAGTGTGGAAGCACAAAGCGGAAGCGGCCTGAACGCCCTGCAAAAGCCACCCCTGGGAAGGGGCTGTGGAGAGACAGCGGCCTGACAGAAGGAAGAGCGGCCAGAGATCGTGTACCTGCACAGTCACTATTAAAAGCCAGCACACATTTTGACTGATTCTGATCCAGAGGTGGGAAATCTGCACCTTCTAAATACTTGCAAATACTAACATCCAGCAGGTGGAGAGAATTTATGTGTGCCAGATGGCGAACACAGACACAAGTGCTCGGGAACAGACACACCTGAGGTGATCTTGGTGGGTGAGGCAATGAGATACAAGAGACACTCCATGAGCCAGTCAGTGAACAAAAAGGACCGTTCCAGAGGGCTCTTATGTGGCCCTGGATGTTTATGGAGATAAACAGTCCGGCTCCACTGCCCATGGACTGAAGACTGAAATTCAAAGACTAAAAACAAAAGTGGACTGAAGCAACCACTAGATTCCAGAAGCAGCTGCGGGTGAGACAGGAGAGATGGTCCCTCTCCTGCCGTCATTTGTTTATCGCACAGCCAGCCATAGGAAAACAAGGTATTATAAAACAGCCTGCAGCAATGGATCAGTACCTCCACCATGCTGAAAGAGAATATGGCTACAGTGTTCGCCCTAACTGTCAGATCACATTAATTGCGCATTAATCACATTAATTACTCCCATCAGCCGCATGGCCTGGTCCAAGAACAGAGTCCTGGCCACGGTTTCACGTAATGCTTCCTCCTTTTTCCCTTTGGTTTCCATCACATGTCTTGTCTAGATTTTCCCAACTAATCGCTCTAGCTATTTGTTTAAAAAGGGTGACTTGCCGCCACGCTGAAAGTTAAATAAACAATCACATGCCTGTGGCAGGTGCTGGTTGGCTGGTCTAGTAGAAAGTCACCCTCCTGCCCAACACCTAGGATGCCCCCCGCCCAAAGTCATATCTGATCAAAGCACCGCTTCAAGTTAAAATCTCTACTGGTGAGTGCAGCCACATGCCCATTTTTCTCTATCAAGGCTCTGGGAGGTGGGGTTGGTTTGTGACGGTGTTACATAAGGAGACTGCTGCTTTAATGAATGGCTTCACATTCACTGCAGTGTTTTCTGCCTTTGCCTGGTGACCCCGGCAGAGGCACTTTCAGTTAATAAGTCAGCTAACTCAGGGCGGAAACCACGCGTGCAACGCTGAGACTCTGTTGGAACTCACCGTGTGTCATCGCTGGGATCGCTGGGTTGGGTTTGGCATCCACCATCTGTGGGGCTGGGGCGCTCACTGAAACAGCACAGAGAGAGAGAAAGCTCACAGGGCTCCAGCATGAAAGCAGGAGGGTCTGACTGTGATGAGGACGGGGTGTTCCTCCAGGGAGTCAAGACATATACAGACCATAAGGGACAGACACTGAAGATGACAAAAATACGGCCACCTAATCTAAGCCATTTCACTGCATCATCACTCACCCATTCAAAACAAACAAGTCAGTGTTTTTTAGTATATTCAGAGTTGTGCAAACACAGCCGCTATCTCATTTTAGAACATTTAGGTTAGTAAGCACCCACTCCCCCACCCCCCAAACCTATACCCATTGGCTGTCGCTCCCTGTTCGTCCCTCCTCCCAGTCTCTGGCAACCATGGATCTAATTTCCATCTCTGGGCTGAATTTGCCTGTTCTGGACATTTATATAAATGGAATCCTACACCACGAGGTCCTTCATAACTGACTCACTTAGCACCATGTATTTTCATGGCCAAATAGCCATGTATGGGCAGATTACATTTTACTCATCCATTCATTAGCTGATGAACATTTATTCAGGCTGTGTCCACTTTTTTGGCCATTAGGAATAATGCTGCTATGAACACATAAGAGGAACCAAATTTTTTAAAACCCTAGTCACTGGGCTGAAGAAGGCACAGATTGCATCACCGCCTTTAGAGTGGAATAGTCCTGATTCCTAAAGGCTCTCTATTTTAAATTTCCCCCAGGAAATCAGATTGCACAGCCTCCCTTTCCAATACTTGCTTGATAATTTTTATCTGAGGGTCCCCTCTGGGCTATTTGTTTACCAGCTCTCTCTACTTGATTGAGGTAGATCCTTAATTCTTACCCTACCCTGAATTGCAATTATGTGTAAAGAGCTAACCATTCTGGAAATAAGGCCCTCAAGCCCATCTGCAGCTTGCACAATATAAGCCAAGGTTTGCAAATGACAGCACGTGGAAGCCAACAGAGTTTCACTGGAACACGACATGGTTCCAACATGGTGCCAGGTATAATTAAAATACAAGCAATAATAATTTAGGGGCTTTTAACCATTCCACCCTTCTCTGAAACATGCTTTGTTCTTTATTTCGTAAGATGTAAGTCCAGCTGCTACTCTCCCTGCAGCACTTGGCGCTTAAATTGCCCTCCTGTCCTCAGCACCCCAACCTCTCCTGGAAGCGGCTCAGAAGGTAAAATTATAAAAATCATTAGCATTTCCAGTCCGTTGGCCAAATTCTCACTCTCACATTCCTTCATCACCTGCAATGTCCTCGCTCAGCAACCCCCTCCATCCAGGCTCCCTGGCTCTGGCGTTCAGGCCCTTGTTCCCACGCACGGCCCTCACACCCTCAGTCTCCTGCTTCCTTCCTTCCTCCCAAGTTTCTTGCCTCCCCTTGCACTTTCCTGAGTGGAAATAAAAATATCCCAACTATTCTATTACTAGGAAAACTGTCTGCAGCTAAACTGCACAGATAACATATTTTGGGATGACAGCTGAGTCCTGCGTAGAGAGTCACACCCAGACGCCCACTGAGCATGTGAGGGGAGGGTCGGGGTCCAAAGCCTGGGGCCCCAAAAACCCCCATGAGGCCACTATGGGGCGGCAACCACACACAGTGGCACCGTCACACAGCGTTACCTTGTGAAAGCCCAAAGCGTCAACTGGAGCAACAGCAAAGACCCTTTCTATCAGGCCAACCACAAAATGATGGGTCTGGCTAACCAGAATCACCTTGAGGCCATGTGGCTCTTCACAATCTCGCGTTTTGGAACCAGGTCAAAGCCAGGGCTCAAAAGAAATCAATGCAGGGCCTCCCTGGTGGCGCAAGGGGTTAAACACAGCAGTGAAGCTGTCCGCAGCCTCTGCAGCATGAGTTCAATCCCCTGGCGGGCCAGGGAGCAACCCACATGGTGCAGCAGACCTCTCCTGACTCGCCCGCTTCCCCGCTCTGTCTCTGGTGGGTCCTCTTGCCCACCACAGCTCTGGCCTGTACCCCAGTTCTTATTTATTTATGTATGCATAAATAAATAAATCTTAAAAAAAAAGTAATCTCCAAACACACTTGTTCTCAGAGAAAAGCCTCTAAAAATAGTTAAGTGGTGTGTAATGGTGTTATTAGTACTTTAAACATATCTTTAGGCACCCAAGCCTATTATAGAAACTTACTAGGTACAGCTGAGGCAGTTGGCTTGGAGTCATAAATCTGCCAGGTTAAAGGACTCCCTGAAATAACAAAAAGTTTAATGAATAACAAAAATCACAAGCTATGGGTTACATACATATATCCTCTCCATAACCCCCCCAGAAAATAATGAAAGAAATTTACCAAATTATAGCGACTCACCCACAAGAATGAAGATGTTTAACATGCCTCTGTTTACAGTGTTTTCCCTAAAATTAGTTTTCAGTCCACTATGTGCACGATGAAGAACATATGCAGGTATCCCTCACTACGTGAACGCTCACTATTAGAAGGGTAGTTCCAATCCATCTCCACACGAGAAGGAAACCAGTGGGCGTTCAGCGTTCTTGCTCTTCCCCGGCCCTCGGAAACAGGCAGGAACCCCAGCCTGACCAATCCCCAATTGGCTTCCATTAAGGAGAATTCCTTAACAACCTGACACGTGCAGACACCCAGAGCCGGATCACTCGAAGAAGTTCCAGCAGAAGGCAGGCTTTTGTGATTTCCTGTGAGACCCTACATTCCTGTCCCCCACCTCCCTTCTAACCTAGATCTTGGATGGTGCAGAGATGGGTGGTGATCACTGCTACTATGTTCAATACATGCCCACTACGCTTGGACACAACCCCACGCCACCACAATTGGAATAACACCACAAGCCTCTATGGTATTTTAAACAACAAAGAGTTTAACATCAGTAATAATAGCTAACAGCAGCGAGTGTTTACCAGGTGCAATTTATACATGTTCTCCCGTGGGATCATGACGAGCCTGCGATGCAGTGATTATTGATATTCCAAAATATCAATAATGATATTGAGGTTCCTCATTTAGGGATGACATAACTGAGGTAGAGACAAGGCTGCAATGGGCCAGGGACAGGACTTGAACCTGGTTTGTCTCAGACCCTGTGCTTCTGATTGTAACTCCCGCTTACTGAACAGCAGGTAACGGCTACTCAGTGTGTATTCTGAGCAAACCGGTATGCTGGTTTAAAAAAAAAAAAAATTAGAGACCACTCAATGACAGTTTAGGTCTTAAAAGAATTTTTCTCAAGTCTCTGGATTGGGGTAACAGATCTAACCCAGAAGAATGGCATCTGAGCACCTGAGGACCGTGGGGTCCCTCATTCTGCTACTGTCCAGAGGAAAGCCCACCTTCCCACTAGCACCCTGGCCCACTTACCTTTGGGTTCACTGATACTGCTTACTGGTTTACAGGCAAACTCTTTAATCTGCAAAGAAAAAGTCTTTTAATGATAACATGTTTGAAACTAGATGGGAACATATAGGACCATGGACAGTTGAACACCGAGCGAATGAAGCTTTCCACTAAGTCCTCCAAAGACACTGGACACAAGGACAGTACCGAGAAGGAGACAAAGTTTTCTAGAAACCGGATTTGCATTTGGCTGTTTCTCAAAGTAGTTACCCAAAGAAATTCGTATCTACCCACACATGTGTTTTGAATTCTTACTGAACAAATCTGCTTGCTCTACCATATTGTAAAATATCCTTTAAACATTTTATTTCATTGGATTTGCCTTCACAAACCACCTCAGGGGAGGAAACAGCCCCTCGTCTTTATCTTATTCAGCTTACAAACAAAAACACACATTCTTAGAGACTTGCATGGCTTAAAGAAACACAGACTCGGTTTACAGCCAGGCCTACCTGCTGTCTCTGAGTGATAATCAGCTCATTCTGTTCCTGGAGTCTCTGCCCTAGCTCTTCCATCCTTTTCCTGTAGAAAACGTTACTTGCGTTTAAATCATCTATCATTGAGGTTCGAAGTTTTTCTATATGTGACAGGAGCTGGAAAAAAAAGCTAGGTAAGGCATCCACACCTACTCCCTGCAGGCACAATGTCTTCATTCCACAGTCCACCTGCCCACGCCTTGCTCACTCTGTTGGCCTGACATCACCCGTGCACAACAGCCATGGACTAAACCTCAGAATACTCCATGGAATAAACTGTGCAGAGGAGACTCTGGTGCACAAGGGGCCTCATCTCTGCTCCTGGGGTGCGTGCGACCCAGGACAGACCTGACAGTGTGACCCATAAGTGACCTCAAACACCCAGCATCACCCAGCAAGCGACAAGGATAAGCAATGCCAAAGGTCACGGCTTCTTCCCAGAGCAGCTCTGATGCCAGGGGGTGTGTCCTTCAAACATGGGTGACGCAGCTCAAAGGTGCCCTTCCTCGTCCAGAGGGCCTATCTTCATTATCTATGTCCAGCAACTAGCACAATCTCTGACGCTTAGTAGGTTCTCAATAAATATTTCCTGAGAAAAAGAATGTGGTGGAGAAAGGTACAGGAAAACAACGAGTAGGGAGGGAGAGACTCAGCGGTCCGAGGCCCAAAAGTTTACCGTAGATTCACCCTTAAAGATGTAATATCAGGGATCAAATACTGGAGAAGAAGGGTTTAAGAAGAATTTGTTTTCAATAACATAGGGAAAGAGCCTTAAGGCAAGGTTAGTAGGGCTCCCTGGTGGCGCAGGGGTTAGTCTCAGCGCTATCAATCTATCACCAGACACTGCGACCTGAGTTCAATCCCCGGCCAGGGAGCTGACCCACATGGCACAGCAGACCTCGCCTGTCTCCCTGCTGCTCCCCTCAGCAGTGTATTTCAGTAGATCTGCCTATTCTGCACCCCCTCCCCTTGTCTCTGGTGAGTCATCTCACCCCCTTTATACCTCTGGCCTATACCCCAGTTCTTGGATGCATAAATAAAATAAATCCTTAAAAAAAAAAGAAACATCTGAATAAATAATAAGTGTACACAATCAAGCAGCCTCCAGGACGTTAGCAATGTAGCTGTTAGACTAGCAATTTTTTGGCCAAATTAGCAATGGTCCAAATCCAGAGCAGTGACACCACCAAATGCTGGGAAGGACATGGAGCAACAGGAACTCTCATCCACTGCTGGTAAGAATGCAAAATGGTAGAGGCCCTTTGGCAGACAGATTGCTGCTTTCTTACCATATTCTTACCATCCCACCCAACAATCACCCTCCTTGGCATTTACCCAAAGGAGCTGAAAACTTATGTCCACATAAAAGCCTGCCCACGGATATTTACAGAAGCTTTATTCATCACTGCCAAAGCTCGGAAGCAACCAAGGTGTCCTTCAACAGGTGCATGGATAAATAATCTGTGGTATATGCAGACAATGGAATATTATGCAACGCTTAGAGAAATGAGCTGTCAAGCCGTGAAAGAATTGGCGGAAACTTCGACACAGATTGCGGAGTGAAGGAAGCCAGTATGAAAAGACTAAGTCCATAGGATTCCAACGCTACAGCATCATGGAAAAAGTAAAACCTTAGAGACAGTGAGAAGATCAGGAGCTGGGCGTGGGGGAGGAGAGGAATGAACAGAGAGCGCGCAGAGGCCTGCATGTGATGCAACTACTCTGCACGATATCATGCTAGTGGGTACATGTCATCAACATTCGTCCAAATGCATAGAATGCGCGAGACTGAGAGAGAAGTCTGATAGAAACGCTGGACTTTGGGGCCTCCCCGGTGGCACAGCGGTTGAGCGCTGGGTTGCGAAGCTGCCGGCGGCCTCGGAGGCGCCGGTTCGATCCCCAGCTGCTCCCCGGCCACCGGAGTAGGGTCCCACATGGTGCGCAGACCTCTCCTGCCGCCCGCTGCTCCCCTCAGCAGTGTACTTCGGTCCTTCTGCCTGCTCTGCTCCCCGCTCTGGCTCTGGTGAATTCTCTCACCCTCCCGCGCTTCTGACTGTACCCAGTGCATGTATAAACAAAAACAAACAAACAAACAAATAAATAAAACATGCCTCTAAAAAAAAAAAAGAAACGCTGGACTTTGGGTGATAAAGCGCATCACTGTAGGCTCATCGATTAGCATAAATGTACACTGGGGACAGGATGTTGATAACTGGGGAGGTGGTGAGGATGGGGGAGTAGGGAGGTCTGAGAACACTCTCTGCCATTTCTATGCAATTGTGCGGTGAACCTAAAACTGTTCTAAAATAATTTATTCCGTCAAGGAGATAATAACACAGCAAGTTAAACTCTCCATCAGTATCCTGCGGGGTCCCTCTGAGGTGCTTTGTGCTCATGACACTGGACAGTTGCTGGGTGGACCAAGTCATGGGGGCTTCCTGTCGAAGAATTGTGGTGATGCTAAGGGTCTCCCCAAAAGGCACTGTTAGGAACCTCCTCTGCATTTTCACAGACCACCAGAAGAGTGTCCCCAAAAGTAGTTTGGGAAACGCTGAGCTAGAAAACAGGAGGGAAAGCCAGGAAAGGTGCCCAGGGTGGTGACATGATCAATAATTAAGTGAGTTGTTCCAGGCCCCAAGAAGGGGGCACCTTTCTGACACTGGAGTTGAGAATTGACCAGAAAGGTACAGAAAAGAGTTGACTGAGAGAGGGCTGGGGTAGTCACAGCCAGACATTTGTCCACAAAAAGTATGTGACTTTCCTATTTCAAGTTCTATGCTTTTCACTCTCCAGGTCCACCCCCATTTCCTTTCGTCGCATCACATGACCATTCCATGACTCCCGAGTTCTAGGGAGTCCCCTGTGGGGTGAAAGGGGCATGCCATGGTTTATCTGTGACTCCCTTTGAACGCCTACCAACATTATTAAAAAAAAAAAAAAGGCTGCCAAGAATCTAGGTAAAGCAATAAAAAGTTGGCAACCACAACTTCCCTTAAACAGAAAAATACAATATGTGCCTTGTAGGAGCGCTAGGCACCAATCATGTGGAATAATTGTTAGGTCTCGGCAGGGATGACTCAACCTGATTGAATTCGCCCCTCTGTTAGGGTTTAAGAGAAGTGGAGGAAGAAGCAGGCAGCTTTGGGGGAGCAGCATGGCCTAGTGGCAGCACAGGCACCCAGGAAGTGGGGTGAAGCGCGTCCCTCAGAACCAGGGGAGAAGGCTTCTGCTTCTTCCCAAGGCCCACCAGCGGGTCTTTTTGTTACCACTTGCCGTTGCCAAATGCAAAATGGCAACTTGTCTTCTACTGCAGCCAGAAAGTCCCTGAATTCCTACCAACTTGCCTTGGGCCCAAGAGCCTTTTTTTTTTCCTGTTTTCTTTTTAAAAAGATTTTATTTATTTATTTATGCATACAAGAACTGAGGTAATGGCCAGAGGTGTGAGGGTGAGAGGATTCACCAGAGACAGAGTTGGGAGTAGAACAGGCGGATCTACTTAAAACACATTGGGGAGGGGAGCAGTGGGTGAGACAGGAGAGGTCTGCTGCGCCATGTGGGTCAGTTCCTTGGCCAGGGATCAAACTCAGGCAGCAGCAGTGAAAGCAAGATAGCACAGAGACTTAACCCCTACGCCACCAGGGGCGCCCCCAAGAGCCTTTATTTTAAAGATTTATTTACTATTTATGCATACAAGAGCTGGGGTACAGGCCAGAGGCGCGGGGGGTGAGAGGATTCACGAGAGACAGAGTGGAGAACAGAACAGGCAGACTGACTGAAATACACTGCTGAGGGGAGCAGCGGGTGAGACAGGAGAGGTCTGCTGTGCCATGTGGGTAGCTCCCTGGCTGGCCCGGGACAGAACTCGTGCTTCAGAGGCTGCGGATTGCTTCATAGTTCTGTGCTTTACCCTTTGCGCCACTAGGGAGGGCCCCACCAAGAGCCTTTAAAAGAGCAATTACCCCCTTTTCTTAAGAAGGTCTGAGTTCTATCCCAGGACCTCAAGGCCAAAGAGGTGCTTTGAAAAATAAGAGTCAGAACTTCAAATTTCTAGGAGCATAAGGATAAAACAGAATCATTTAAACTTCTGGGTTTTTTTTTGGTTTTTGTTTTTTGTTTTTAGCATGTCCCAGACCTACCTACTGAGTCAGAGTCTCAGGGAGTGAACCTGGCATGTGTATTTCCGAATAGGGCCTCAGGCCACCCTCCCTGCACGGGTGCCAGAACATTTTAACACTTAAACTTCTTACAGAGTCAACTCAAAGGGAATCACTGGGATAACTGAATTTTGTTTTCATTAAAATAATTGTAATGTGAACAATCCTCGCCCTCATTTAAAAATCTTTAGATTGCCAGTGGGTGATATGAAAGAAATGAGAAATGTATTCAACAATGAAGACAGGATTCAATAACTTGGGATACGTGTGGCCATTTCGAAGTCATGATTGTGGGCTGTGGTGCAGAAGTATGGAGCCTTGATGGCAGGTGAGGTGGGGCAGGCCCGAAGAGTGCACCCCTGTACCCCTGACTCATGCAGAGTTATCGACCAATGTTAGCTCCATAAATCATAAAAATAATGATTTTGAAGAATAATTGAAAACAAGAAAACAGTTATGATCTGTTAAGTGAAAAGCCTATAAAATAATAGACAAAAAGTATGATTAAAACTGTTAGACTAGGGGCCTCCCCAGTGGCACAGCCGTGGAGTGCTGGGTTGTGAGGCTACCGGAGCCTCTGCAGCACCAGTTCGATCCCCGGCCACTGGGTGACGGTCCCACATGGCGCGCAGACCTCTCCTGCCGCCCGCTGCTCCCCTCAGCAGTGTCCTTCGGTCCTTCTGCCTGCTCTGCTCCCCGCTCTGGCTCTGGTGAATTCTCTCACCCTCCCGCGCTTCTGACTGTACCCAGTGCTTGTATGAATAAATAAATAAATCTTAAAAAAAAACCCAAACTGTTAGACTAAATGAGTTTCTATGCTCAAAGGAATGCAACATTTACAGGACAGAAAAAAGACTACAAGAAATTACAGCAAAGTAGGAGCAGTGGTTATGTTGGTACTGGAATTGTAAGTGACTTCAATTTTGTTATATATTTCTCCACAGATTTAAGTAGACAAATCCTGCATACACTGTAAAGAAAGCAAATATTCTTTTTAAAAAATGACCCACTTATTGGCCATTGGTTTCTTTCTTTTTTTTTTTTAAAGATTTATTTATTTATTTATACAAGCACTGGGTACAGTCAGAAGCGCGGGAGGCTGAGAGAATTCACCAGAGCCAGAGCGGGGAGCAGAGCAGGCAGAAGGACCGAAGTACACTGCTGAGGGGAGCAGCGGGCGGCAGGAGAGGTCTGCGCACCATGTGGGACCCTCCTCGGGTGGCCAGGGAGCAGCCGGGGATCGAACCGGCTGCAGCTTCACAACCCAGCGCTCAACTGTTGCGCCACCGGGGAGGCCCTGGCCATTGGTTTCTTAACCTTACCCGATTCTTCTCTTTCTTGTGTTCTTGATGCAGAGCTTGAACGCGAGCTGTCCACTTGCTTTCCTATAAAACAGTAAAATAAGAGTAATTTATGTGCAACTATAGCAAAGGAATGTACTCAAGATGGAAGCTGTGTTTTTAGTGAGTATTCATGAAATCCAATATATCCATTTGGTAAAATTCTTTTTATCTATACAAGAACCAGGGCATAAGCCAGATGCGTGAGAGGGTGAGAGGATTCACCAGAGCCAGAGAGGGGAACAGAACAGGCAGACTGACGAAATACAAAGCTGAGAGGAGCAGTGGGCGAGACAGGAGAGGTCTGCCGTGCCATGTGGGTTATCTCCCCGGCCGGCGGGGATCGAACCCGTGCTGCAGAGGCTGCAGACAGCTTCACAGCCCTGCGCTCAACTGCCTGTGCCACCAGGGAGGCCCCAATTTGGTAAAATTCTTGTGGGCATTTTTTAGACTATATACCGTCAAAAATATTTCAACAGATGTGCGTGTGGTCTTAATCTTATACTCTCAGGAAGAAGTTGGCAAACACTTTTGGGTAAAGAGCTAACTGTAAGGGTTTTAGTCTGAGGGGCCAGATGGCTCGGTCACTGCCACCTGCAGTGGAGCAGTCTCTGAGAATATGGAAGCGAACGGGCATAGCTATGTGCCAATAAAATTTTATTTTCAAAAATAGGTGCTTAAAAAAAGAGATAGGTGTTAGGGGCCTCCCTGGTGGCACAAGGGGTTAAGTCTCAGCACCACAAAGCTATCCACAGCCACTGCAGTATGAGTTTGATTCCTGGCCAGGGAGCTGACCGACATGGCGCAGGAGACCTCTCCTGTCTCGCCCACTGCTCCCCTCAGCAGTGTATTTCAGTAGATCCACCTGTTCTTTTCCCCACTCTGTGTCTCGTGAATCCTCTCACTGTCCCCCTACCCCCACACCTCTGGCCTGTACCCCAGTTCTTGTATGCATAAATAAATAAATCTTAAAAAAAAAACAACAACAGTTCAGTTCTGGACAATACCTTGAACCAGGCACCTTGCTGGGCAGCCCTGCGTGCTTGGGGAGGACCCTACAGAAGGGATAACCCCAGAAAGGCCCCTGGTCATGGGCATATGACCACGTCCCACCAGGGGGATTAGAGAATGGCAATGACCCAGAGGTTCAGGGCTAGTCTGCAGAAGAGGGGTCACCCCAGCTGAATGAGTAAGCCACAGGTCCTGAAAGAAAGTTGCCAATTAAAGGCAGAATGCTGTGTCCTGGGAAGTGAGCTATTTCGAGATGCTGGAAGTATCAAGGTGGATGGGACGGCAAGGTTCAGAACCCGAGAATGCTGGTGAAGGGCTGCAGGACAGTGGTGTGGCTGGCCTGGCTGCAATGCAGAAGGTAGGTCTGGAGGAGGAAGGAAGGATGTGAGCAGCAAAGCAAGAAGTAGAGGCAGCAGACTGTAGTCAAAAACACACTTGCTTTGTTAATGACATATTACTGCTTTAAAAAAATCCTGAATTCATAAGTTTTAATCTCTGCTTGTTTCCTAGTTAAAAAAAAGTTTCCCTAAACCCATGTGATCAAAATAGCCAGTATGAGAATACAGAGGTTCGTTCCCAAATGATTGTAACTCAGTTTCATAAATGTAAAAGATCAACAGTTCCTCAATGTAGTTGTATATTTAAATTCTAAAAATAAAGATAGTGTTTTGTTTTGATATGCTTTTTTTTATGCCTTTTGAAAATAAGACCTACATCTGGAATATGAAAAATAAGTGCTAAGTTATACTAACCAATTTCAATAGATGTTAGAAAGAAATGAAAGAATTTTGTCAACTTTTACATACACACCTATTAGTCAATCAACAAACATCTAGTGAACACCTATTAGGAATTGCTCATGTATTAGGAGATAAGAAAAGCAGAATGAGTCACTTTGATGGTACCTGAAAGATTCATATACTTCTTCTGTAGATGATGTTACTGTCACTTGCTAAGAAAAAACAGGCCTGTTACCCATTTTTATCATACCTGATAATGTCCACTTTTACATACCTGATTATCAAGAAGTTGCATCACATTTTGGAAATCTTGGGGATACTGGGGACGTTCTTCTTTAAATTCGTGTGCATCTTTCAATGTGCCTATGTTGGACTTGATCTGCATATTGGACTTCTGGATTTCTGACAATTGCTATAAAAAAAAAAGGGCAGAATTAATTACTGGTACAAAAGCTTATACTTTCATAAGACTGAAGCAGAGTAAAACTGGGGAGCATGTGACCTGGCTTTTGGTCTGGCTATCCTACTGGGCACTCCTGGGGCCTCTACTTATCCTGTGCAGTGGTTTCCCACTTTTTTTGTGTTTCCAGCCCTTCCCACAGAACAAGTACAGGGTGGAAAGGGTGGAGGAACATTCAACTTTTCAGTCTCAGACAGTGGGTCTTAAACATTTCGATGGGCATCGAACAGTGGCCAGGGATGGGGAACCCGTGGCCCTGGGTCTCCGGTAACTCAGTGAAACGTCCAGCATCACCAGGGACTGCATCGGGGTCAGTCAGGGATAGACCATTTTAATTTCACCCTTTGTGTGTATATTATCCCAAAGACAATGGCGGTAAACACTGGAGGAAAGCCTAGAAGGTTAACTCCAAAACAGAAGGGTAGGGAGCAAAGTTCCTGCTCCTTAAGTGTAGGGTACACACAGTGACATCCTTTCAAAGAGGACTGTCGTAAACAGGGGTGGGGGTGACATTCAGTGGAAAAACCAGACAAATATTACCTCACCGAGGTACTTGAGGTTAATTAAACATCAACAGTCACAATCATGTAGATGGTGTGTGCCTGGATATGACCTGATGAAAACTGCCCAGGCCTTAATCCCAAAAAACCTTCAGCCCAGTCTAACTATGAGAAAAATGTCATGTAATTCCAATAGAGGGGTATCCTACAATCTGCCTGAAAAACAAATTCTCAAAAATGCCCAGGCCATCAACAAGTCTGAGACATTGTCACAGACAAGAGGAGCATAAGGAGACACAACTAAATGTGTCCTGGATCCATCCTGGAGAAGGTAAAGGATATCATGTAAAGGCCAAACAAATTGGGATAAAGTATGGACTTTAATTAATAGTAAGTTACCAGTATTTGCTTCATTAACTGTAACAAATGGACCACACTAATTTGTCAGCAACATGGGAAACTCTGTACAGGACAGGAGAGGGGGGTGTCTATAAAAAACCTTTTGTACTGTTCACTCTATTATTTTGTAAGTCTAAAGCTAGTCTAAAAAATAGCCTATTAATAATATTTTTTAACCCTTCTATACCCCCAACAACCTAAATGCCCACCCACTGACTAATGGGGAAAATATGGCGTTATCCAAACAATGAAACGTTATTCAGCAGTTGAAAAGAAATTAAATACTGATATTGTAACAGGAATGAATCTTTACAACATTATACGCAGTCAAAGAAGCCACTTACAAAGGATCACATACTGTGTGACCCAATGTATAGGGAATATGGAGGACAGGAGGCAGATCTGGGGTTCCTAGGGGCTGAGTTGGGAGTGGAGGAGGGCGTGACCACGGATCGGGTTTCTTCTGGGGGGGATGGAATGTTTGACTGTGACCGTGATAATGGTCGTGTAACTCTGTGATCCAACTAAAGCACGCTGGGTTGTGCACTCTCAGTGGGCGGATGTTTTGGTGTGTTATGTCATGGTTGTCACCAGGGAGTAGATGAATGTGGTCTGGATAGGGCAGCCTGCAGAGTCAGCCTTAAGAGGGTGAGCTTCACCATCCCCACTGTGGGTGCTGCTCCCGCTTCAGCAGGTGCCACACAGCATTTCAGAAGCTGCAGTGTGGGTGGACGAAGAAACCAGGGATAAGGAAATCACTGACTTGAATGCTGATGCTTAGAAAGAACAAGAACTGAGAAGCGATAATGAGGAGATAGCAGGACCGAGAGGGAGTTTTGCCCTACAGATAAGCAGCCTGCAGCCATCCTAAGTCATTCCCTCTCAGTTTCTTATTTGCAAATTACAACTCCTGGAGAAGTAGAAAGAACAGTATAACCAGCGCCCATTTTGACTTCAGCAATTTGTTATGATCGTGCCACATTTGCTTTATGAAACCATGACAGGAAGTGGTCGGTCCTTTCTGTAAAGAGCAGCATGACACACGTGGGCTCAGCCACATCACGGAACTGGGGCCGAAAACACGGATCTAGTGCACCACTCAAACTTTACTTTCACAATGAGATGTGGATTTCATATTATTTTCATGTGTTGTGAAATATTCTTCTTTGGCTCTTTTTCTTCTTTTTTTTTTGGTTTTATTTTTTTATTTATACAAGAGCTGGGGTACAAGTCAGAGGCGCAGGAGGGTGACAGGATTCACCAGAGACAGAGCAGGGAGCAGAACAGGCAGACTGACAAAATACAGTGCTGAGGGGAGCAGCAGGCGAGTCAGGAGAGGTCTGCCGCACCATGTGGGTATCTCCCTGGCCGGCCTGGAATTGAACCCGTGCTGCAGAGGCTCTGCACAGCTCCACAGCACTGCGCTCAACCCGCTGGGCCACCAGGAAGGCCCATTTGGCTCTTTTTCTTAACCATTTAAAAACCACTCAGCTCAGGGGCTGTACAGGAGCAAGGTGGCTGCCAGATCAGGTACTCAGGTGGTAGTTTACTGACCCCCTGGTGAGAATTTTTAATTGAGAGAACAAAGCATCATGACTTTATGTAGGTTTCAGGTATATATCCTTTAAGCCCAATTCCATCCTTGACCTACCATTCAAGGAATGTCAGAGAAGGCTATGTTAGGTTATCCCCAAAATATCCACTTCAGTTTATTCCACTCATTGGCCTCTAGAGGGCGCTCAAGGACTTCCCCTCTACTCCCCCACTTCCTTTTCCCAAGCATGACTCAGGTCTGAGGCCAGCAGCACCAGGCTAAATGCTTGGCTGGAAAACAATGATTGGCCGCTGTCTGAGGAAAGAGCCCCCTGAGGTTAAGGTCCAGCCCCGTTAGGTTCTCTCTGTCCATCATCCATGCACATGACCAGGGCACTGTGGACCAAGGCTGCTGCCCCGGGGAGGGGGTTCATTTCCCCATAAACTGCCTGTTCCAGAATCCCTCTCCTCCTCACCAGCCAAACCTGGGGTTAAAAAGGACCCTGTTAAAGTTCTCTCTCTTTCTGGCTTGGCATCCTTCCCCCACATTGGTGATCTGTATCAGCCTTTCTGGAAAGTTCTAACACTTAGTGAGGGGTTTACGCAGGCTGTCTAAGCCTAACAAGCTAACAGAAGCTAAGTGTTCTGTGCCAGCCACCTTTTCCACTTGCTCTGTCTTCTGTATGTCCCCTGCTCCCCACTGAGACTCACAGGGAGAGCGGGAGTCTGGGCAAAGCACAAAAAGGAACTTGTAGATCCACTGGCGATAATGTCCACCTAATCTACCTCTCAAGGCACCAGTGTCACCAATACTGCAAGTTCTCTACTTAATACTTACGTATTCTAATGCTGAATTCTTGGAAGTTAATTCTTTAAACTCCTTCATAAACATTGCCTTGACTTTTTCCATTTCATCAACCAGTTTCTCCTTTTCTTCTTCTTTCCATCTATCAAATAACTTCAGAAATTCTTCCTCTTTTGTTTTCTGCATTTCATATTCCTGGAATTAGTTTAATACATGGCTCTGAAGGTGCTGATATGGAGTAAATGTGCAAATTTTGAAATAAGCAAGGTTCACTTTGGATGTATCAGCTGGTTTTGCTATCAGGTCTGTAATAACACTGTGTAGTGGCAGGTCTGCACACAATGCTCTTTTCAAATCAAAAGTAGCATCCTTTCATCCCTTAAAATACACACACAGAAGCCTAAAGTCTCAACGTTGATATATGCAATAATAAGTAAAATGTAAACATACTATCTAAGTAAAAAATCTATTGAGCAGAAGACCCTTTCTTGCTATCACATCCATTTGGGTGGAACAGCCCCATCTCACCCCTAGAAAAACATAAATTCAGACTTATATAACCTAAACTTAGGATCCAGAGGATTAGCCCTTGATTTCTCAATGATCTTCAGTTTGTTTTTACCTAATTGCGGAACTTGAACAACACTATAAAAAAAATTGGTCTAACAAACATTTATAGAATGTTGTTAGGTACACTACGCACAACAGCAGTAAAATATACATTTCTATTAAATGCACATGAAAAATTCATCAGGATAGGCCATATGTGAGGCCATAAAATAATTCTCAATAAATTTTAAAATGATTGAAATCATGTAAACTGGGCTTCCCTGATTGTGCAGGGGTTGAAGTCTCAGTGCTATCAATCTGTCGCCAGCCACTGCCAACCACTGCAGCATGAGTATGATTCCTGGCCAGGGAGCTGACCCACATGGTGCAGCAGACCTCTCTTGTCTCAATGTCTGCTGCCCTCAGCAGTGTATTTCAGTAGATCCACCTGTTCTGCTCCCCACTGTGTCCAGTGAATCCTCTCACCCCATGCACCTCTGGCCTATACACCATACTTGTATGCATAAATAAATTTTAAAAATCATGCAAAGTGTCCTATCCAATCACAATAAAACAAACCCAGAAATCAACAACAGAAGGAAAACTGGAAAATTCAGAAATACATGAAAACTAATCAACATAATCTTAAATAACCAAAGGTCACTAGGGAAACTAGAAAATAATTTGATATGAATGAAAACAAAAACACAACATACCAAATGAGAGGCAACTAAAACAGTGTTGGAGGGAAATTTATAGCAATAAATGTATACATTTAAAAATGATCTCAAGAGACAAAAATCATTATATAATGATAATGAAGCCAATTCATCAAGAAGATATAACCACTGTAAATATGTACACATCTAACACTGTAGCACCAAAATATATAAAGCAAACATTAGCAGCTCTAATAGGGGAACTAAACAGCAAAATAATAATAATGTGGGAACTTAATGCCCCACTCTGAACAATAGATAAATCATCCAGACAGGAGGAAAAAGAAAAAAGGAAAAAGAGGATTTGAACACCTCTATACGTCAAACACATCTAACAAAAATCCTATCCAAAAGCAGCAAGACATACATGCTTTTCAAGCACATATGGAAATTCTTCGGGATAGGATATTGTTAGATGATAAAACAAAACATAACAAATTCAAGAAGACTGAAATTGGATGGGGGAGGGAGAAAAAAAGAAGATTGCCATTATCTTTTCTGGTATGACATTAGAAATCAGCAACAGAAGGAAAATTGAAAAATTAACAACTAAGTGGAAATTGTAGAAACAATATACTCATGAAAAGCAATGAATCAAAGAAGAAATCAAAAGGGAAATCAGAAACTATCTTGAAGCAAAAATGGAAACACAGGGCCTCCCCGGTGGCACAGCGGTTGAGCGCTGGGTTGCGAAGCTGCCCGCGGCCTCTGCGGCGCCGGTTCGATCCCCGGCTGCTCCCCGGCCACCGGAGGAGGGTCCCACATGGCGCGCAGACCTCTCCTGCCGCCCGCTGCTCCCCTCAGCAGTGTCCTTCGGTCCTTCTGCCTGCTCTGCTCCCCGCTCTGGCTCTGGTGAATTCTCTCACCCTCCCGCGCTTCTGACTGTACCCAGTGCATGTATAAACAAAACAAACAAACAAACCAGCAAACAAATAAATAAAGCATGCCTCTATTAAAAAAAAAAAAAAAAAAAAAAAAAAAAAAAATGGAAACACAACATACTAAAACTAATGGAATGCAGCAAAGGTGGTTGGAAGAGGAAAGTTTATAGCTACAAATTCCTCGTGTGTGTGTGTGTGTGTGTGTGTGTGTGTGTGTGTAGAAAAACTAGGGTGTAGGCTTGAGGTACAGGGGGTGGGAGGATTCACTAGAGACAGAGTGGGGAGCAGAACAGGAAGATCTACCGAAATACAGTGCTAAGGGGAGCAGTGGGGGAGACAGGAGACGTCTGCTGCGCCATGTGGGTCAGCTCCATGGCCAGGGATCAAACTCAGATTGTCATGGTGATAGCACTGAGACTTAGTCCCTAGGCCACCAGGGAGGCCTCCCAAATTCCTTTGTTTAAAAAAAGAGCAAATTAATACCACACCATATAGAACTAGAAAGAAAAAACAAACTAAGCCCGAAGTGAGCAGGAGGAAGGAAACAATAAAGAGCAGGGAAGGAAAAATAAGAATGCAAGAAATAAGGACAACAACAGAACAAATCTATTGATAAGAAAACAATAGAAAGCATCATTGAAACTAAGTTGTGCTTTTAAAAGATAAACAAATGGACAAACCTTTAGCTAGACTAACCAAATAAATAAATATGACTCAAATAAATAAACTCATAAATGAAGGACGAGTCCTTACAACTGATACTACAGAATTACAAAGGATTGTGAGAGATGACATTTAACAATTACATGCCAACAAACTGGGCAATCTGGAAGAATTGGATACATTTCTAGAAACATATGAACAACCAAGACTCATGAAAAAATAGAGAATCTGAACAGATCCTGACAAATAAGGAGATTGAATTAGGAATCAAAACCTCCCAACAAAGCTAAGTCTTGGACCATAGGAGGCTTCCCTGGTGAATTCTATGAAATATAAAAAAAAAAGAATGAATGTCAATCCGTTTCAGCAAACCATGGTTTCAGAATTTAGAATCATACCTTGGAGAATCTGACGGCGTGGGAGTGTTGTGCAGCCTCTAACTGAGACTTGGTGAGTTGCAGCTGCTGCTTCAACATGTCGACCTCCTTCTGTAGCCTGTCAGTCTGCACCCTTTTCTTATACTCTGTTACAACAGACATACCTGATTAGAATACCTGTTCTCATGAGACCTATCTGAAACACATCTGGGGTATAGTCCTACGGAGAAGACAAAAACAAAGGAAACTGCTCTTCCTTGGGATAGGATTGCTACTGTTCATGCCACAAGAGCCAATTTTTGACTCATCCTAGCATTCTTTCAGCCACCATGTTGAGGTCGGATTATCCAACAGAGGCAGCATGAGAGCCCATTCGGGAAGCAATAATGGGGACAAGGAATAATCCCGGCAGCCTGGGCTCTTAGAGATGCCCGTCTCCGTCCTAACACGGAAGCAGTGGCTTCCACTGCAGGCACCACCATTCTGAGCTATGTCACATCCTTCCGGCTCCCACTGAACTCTCCTGAGAACCCCCTCAGCGCCGAGACAGGCAGAGACTGGCATTCAGACTGCAAACTCGGGTCATAATCTGTCCAAGGGGCAACAACAGAAGTACTGAAAAGTTGTAAAGGAAGCAACAAGTGAAGGGAAGAATACTTAGGCACATGTACTTACATGCAGATGTACACATGACTGAATGGATATACATGTGTCTGTGAGTGTAGACATGAAAGGTATGGAAACCAAAGTAGAAAGTCAGAATCTCAAAGATGACCTAAAGAAACAATACTCATTTCAGAGTCTGAAATACTCTCTGAAACGAGTATGAGATAGAATAAGATACTGAAACAGAAGAGAGAGAAGGTCAGTTTCACGCTGAAGAATGGTGGATTAATTAAAATATTTAATCACTCTAGTTTCTCCAATAGATTGCTAAATTGCATCAGTGGTCCGTGGCTTATAGATGGAATTATGGGCTGTTTATATTGTTTATACAAAGCTTAGCGATTTCCTAAATAAATCTATTTATTGACTTGAAATAGGCAGGAAAAGAGATTGGCCCCAAACAGAGGGGAAAGCAGGCCCTGAGTAACAAGCTAGAATCACACATTCCTAGATACTGAAAACATTTAAGAGCATAATGCGAATTTTGGTGGATCGCTAGAGCAATCTTCAGAACGCTTCGATCAGCGCGTGGAGAAACGGACTGCGCAATCTTTGCTTTTTGGAACATTAAAGAGTAGGAAACTTGGCTCCTTCTAAGCACAGAATCCTTTTCCTCTCTTCCTTCTTCAATCTCCCCCTCTCTACGCTGGTTAATTCCACACCCAAACACATCTTGGTATCTCCCACGTCAAACAAAACCAAAATTTTGCCCTTGGTCCCACACTTCCCTCCAGGTAAGCTCGCACATCTCTATAACTGCTATTTTTTACTCAACGCGGCTGCTCCTTCTGAGCTCCCAGAGGCATGGGGTTCCCCTCAGCCCTTCCCTGTCTAGGTGACCTCATCAGGCCCGCTCTGCTCATGGCTCCCAGGTTTACATCTCCGGCCAGGGCCTTTACCTTGACCTCCACTCCCCAGCCTGTGCACATCACAGCAACTGTATGGGTGACTTGCAACTACCTGTGGCCAACACAAGCTCTTCTCCTGCCTCCCTCAACATGCTCCCTGCACGGAGGTCCCCACCTTGGCTGACATCACTACCATTCACTCAGAAGTGCAGGACAAGAAGCCGTGATCATCTTCACCCTGCTGAGTTACATCTCTGCTCACTCTGGGTCCAGAGCAGGTCCTCTCTGGCTTCTCTCACGTCTACCCCGATACTAACTGGTCCGGCTGCCATTTCCTCTCACCTGAGCTACACTTTCAGCCTCCTCACTTCCCCACCCGCTTCCGCCAGGGCCTCTGGGGCCCCATGTGAGCTGGCCCTTCCTCTCCACCCTCACCACACATGCCTGCCTGGCTCCCTCCACCCCACCAGCCTTCTATCTGCTCCTCAAACACATCCCCTCCCTCTCCAGCACACCCCTCACAATCAGACTGCCCGTGGCCTGGGTGTTTTTATCCTAGATTTCCCCCTAGCTGGAGCCTCATCCTTCTGCTCTTTGATCAGGTGTCACCTCCTTAGCGAGGCCTCTACTGTCTGCCTGATGCCCTCCCCATCTCTTCACCGCACTTGCCACCATTTGAAAGAATCCCTGATTTGTTTAAATGTGTCTTCCCCTCCCATTAGCATGTAGGGCTCGAGACAGGACTGTATCCGCTGTGTCCCCAGCTCCAAGTACAGCGCAGGGTACCCAGCAGGGGCTCAATACTGACTTGGTGAATAAATGAGGACGATGCACTTTCTCTGAAAACGCTGGAGAAATGCACCAGGCCACATCTCCCTGCAGAAGAAAAAGATGCCAGAAAGGAAATAGCTGTTTGGAGTTGAGCTCGTGACTTACCAAGGTGAGAATCTTCAGGGTGTCGGCGCTGAATGTGACTTTGTAGAAATGCTTGGTTCATAAAGGCCTTGTCACAAAAATGGCACTGAAATGGAGAGAGGAACAAATTCAAGTATCTGTTCAAGGGTCCTTACAACTCGTGTCATTAAAAATTGGGTACCAGGGCCTCCCCGGTGGCGCAGCGGTTGAGCGCTGGGTTGTGAAGCTGCCCGCAGCCTCTGCAGCGCCTGTTCGATCCCCGGCTGCTCCCCGGCCACCGGAGGAGGGTCCCAAAGGGCTCGCAGACCTCTCCTGCCGCCCGCTGCTCCCCTCAGCAGTGTACTTCAGTCCTTCTGCCTGCTCTGCTCCCCGCTCTGGCTCTGGTGAATTCTCTCACCCTCCCGCGCTTCTGACTGTACCCAGCGCTTGTATAAATAAATAAATAAATCTTTAAAAAAAAATTGGGTACCAGAGGGCCTCCCTGGTGGTGCAAGGAGTTGAGCACTGCATTATGAAGAAATACGCAGTCTATGCAGCACGAGTTCGATCCACGGCTGGTCAGGGAGCTATCCACATGGCGGGGCAGACCTCTCCTGTCTCGCCTGCTGCTCCCCTCAGCAGTGTATTTCAGTCAGTCTGTCTGTTCTGCTCCCCACTGTCTCTGGTGAATCCTCTCACCCCCCTACATCTCTGGCCTGTACCCCAGTTCTTGTATGCATAAATAAATCTTTAAAAAAATAAAATAAAATTGGGTACCAGAAAAAACCCTGTGACCACCACGGGGTTCCTTGGGGCAGCTTAGGGACTCTGGGTTTAAGCATGACATTGGAGAAAGGAAGGGTAAGGACAAGGAAAGTGTCATTTCTATTTCTAGAATTAGAAAATATGCATTTTTAGCTATTTGATTAAAACAGAAAGGGTTCTAAACCCAAAAAGAAATACTGACATTTTGACATCAAAATGAAAACCTTCTTTCTGTATGACAAAAGATACCAAAATAAACCTAAGAGACATCTGGCTTCCAAATCCACAAATAAAGAGCCTGTAAGTTGGCATACCATCCTTACAAGAAGTAAAAAGATGAACAGAATGTTTAATTTTCGTAATTTTTTAATATTCAAAAATAGTAAGAAAATATGCCAATTTCTCTAAATTAGAAATACACATTTATTACCCCCTGATTTCAGAGGCTCTCTTTCCTACTATGGCTGTACATTAGAACATCAGTGCTGAGGGGCACAGAGCACTCAGGTTACAGACAACAGCAGTGCAGGTAGCGCTCGTTATGGATGCCCACAGCATGCCAGGTTCTCTGCGCCCACATCTCATCACAGCCTTGCAACAACCCCACTGAGAGTGGCTGGTGATGGGGATGGAGCCAGAATTCAAGCACCACGACTGTCAGGTCCCCAAAGCCAACACCATCTGGGACTAATAGGTACTTTATAACAGATTTTACAGTAATAAGACAATTAATAAAGGTCTGATCATTCTTTATAACAAATAGCAGTAGGTTCAGGAATCCTAGGTTTTCAGGATAGGAAGGCAGGAAGGAATTCTCTGTAACCTGCAATCAAATTTCCCCATCAATAAGATAAGACTTTTTAAAAAGTGCTTTGAAAATTTTACTCTCTAAAACTTTTGCATTTTATTAAAAGTTAGTTTATATATACATATACACGTTAAGAATCAGTACATAGGGCTTCCCTGGTGGCGCAAGGGGTTAAGCACCGCACTATGAACAATTCACAGCACGAGTTCAATCCCGGGTTGGCCAGGAAACAACCCACATGGCGCAGCAGACCTCTCCTGATTTGCCCGCTGCTCCCCTCAGCAGTGTATTTCAATCAGTCTGCTGTTCTGTTCCCCACTCTGTGTCTGGTGAGTCCTCTCACCCCCCGCATCTCTGGCCTGTACCCCAGTTCTTGTATGTATAAATAAGTAAAATCTTTAAAAAAAAGAAAAAAGAATGTAGACTACATGTGGCAATGTAGCCTACTTACATGTGAAACATGTAAATGTCTTAAAACAAATTTCACCCTAAACCATTAAAAAGAGAACAACTTTCCGTGGAACGGAGTAAACACAAGAACTCACATTTCTTTACCAAATGAAGTAGGAGGGAGGCTCTCTATACCTCAAGATGTTTTTTGAAGCCTCTCAAAGGCAACAGTAAATCAAGAAACCAGCACTCCCACAATGCCTACTCAGGGCTGGCCCTAGCCAGGCTACATCACTGCCTGATTTAATCTCCACAGCAACCATTTTCTCCACAAAGCAATTGAAGCTCAGCAGAGTTAAGCCACAGCATTATCAGCTGCATGTTTTAACCTATGTATGCTTCCTCCACTTCCCCACATTGGTCTTCAACTCCAAGAGGCCCAATAACTGGAAACAGGGACAGAAATTCACTGACAGATTCCACAATCTGCCTGTACCGCTGGGGCCTGGGGAGGAATCTAGGTCTTCCACCTGTGCAAGTGAAAGTTCTTCTTAGGATGACTCTAAGCCCTGTTAAGATCCCTTGGCATTTTTCAATTTTAAAAACTAGTAATTTGATGCCAGATAACTGGCATACACACCATCCTTCGCACACTGCCCAAACTCTCTCTCCCCTCCTCATTGTAGAGATTCATGACTGCCTATTAATGGTAAATATTTAAACAATATCAATTGTTTTCTTATAAATTTCATTATAGATGGAATGTCCCCCAGCTCACATAGCTGGAGTTGGAGTGAGTCTAACATGGCAGAAGCCACCAGGCTTACGTGCCATTCTTAGCTGTAGTCTTTGACTAGCTGGTCCAGAAACACCAATTCCTACGACATCCACACTGTGACATCTGGCCTTCTTTTCCATACCCAAAACTTCCATGAGCGCCTGAAAAAAAGGTCTGAGGATTCACACTGAGACCACAGGTAGTGACAGTTCACTCCTGAGAAGCCACTGCAGAAATCAACATCTCTAAGTCAGACGCTGTCTACTGAGCCTTCCTGGTGCTACACAAGCATCAATTTGTGGGATTCTCAGCTCACCTAAAAGATAGCTACTAAGAATATTCTCATCTTTCAAATGCAGAAACCAAGAGTTTAGAAGTGACATATGATTTGCACTTTCAAACACTTAGAAATCAAGCCAGGCAGTTGCTTAAAAGCACTCACTGCTGAGAGACTCCTTAAAGAGACACTGGCCACTACGTCACTTAATACAGAGTGGACCTGTACTTATACTAGAGGGAAAAAGTGGTCCTGTCACACCCAACCCTTCCTGGTCACACCTGTGCACGCCACACCTGACACTCAGCCAGAGTCTGTTGAGTGACCAAAAATGTGACTCCTTTGATAAAACCCTGCCAGGACCTTTTTAACCTTACATATCACTCACATTTGAAAATCTTAATTTATTAACAACAATTTCTATGATAACTAAAAGAATGAGAAAATACTTGATCAAAATGTCTATATGTTATGATTTTAATGTTTCACTAGATTGCTACCAAAGCTACAGCAAGATAAATTGTTTAAGTAAAACAAATTGTTTAATTTTATTTTATCATTATTTATATATATTTTACATTATTTTTCATTTTTAAATGTTTGCCTTCCTCCAAGTAAAGCAAATTCTATTCATTTTATAGTAAATATACCAACAGAACCCATCAGCACGATTTATATTTAGTTTTTAAATGGCACTTATGAAAAAAAATACAAGGCAATTGGCTAATTAGCTCAGGTCGTGTGACCACTAAGTCTTTCTCTAACAGTATTCTTCCCCAGCTGTTCCCCTATCGTAAATACCCTTCTCTCAGAACTCCTTTTGGGTCTGTCCTAAGCACTATTAACGGTACCATTTTCTGCACCCCATTTCTATTGACTGCACCCATTTCTGTACTATTTCTGAACTATCGCTGGTGCTTCCGCTTCACTATTACTTAAGTTACGAGAGGCCTCAAAAGCCACATTTAGCCAAAATAACCAATAAAGGTGTGAAATCGTCTTATTGGTCTGTCATTTACTTCGGTACGTTTATCAAACACTGTTGATACCTATTGCACTTCATCTAATCAATAAAAAAAATACATGGATGTCTGTTCTACTCAAAAATTACAATATTTCTCTTGAGCTGGATGTCTAAGCCAAAACAGTTGGTGGTTAAGACCAGAAAAGAAAATTGTTTTCATTTAAAAAATATTGTTGTGACACAAATGAGTGTTCCCAGGAAACATACACATTGAAGTATTCTGGAGTCTGAAACTCACTGCCACATGGTTGAAAGATAACCATGTGTATAGAGACAGAGGAGATAAAACAAATGGGACACATGTAAACACCTAGGGAGTCTGCATGAAGGGTGTGTGGGCTCCAGTACTGTTCTTGCAACTTTTCTGTAAGTTGGAAGATATTCCAAAATTTGAAACCCACAAATGTAATTATTCCAGATCATTAAGGGGCCGACTCAACAGCAATTTGAGGTCGTGGTTTATTTTTTAATAAAATCGTGGTTTACTTTTCATACATGCATTAGGTGGAAGAAACAGTTTCTCAACACCTAGCCTTTAGCCGATTCCAATAATGCACTACAGAGAAGGCCACTTGTTTAACTATTAATTCAATCTCAGGCTACAAAAGGTAACGATCCATGACATCTGTTGGCTAAAAAATCGCTGTTTTGTATTAATATGCCTTTTCTTTTGATTGATAGCACATAAACAACCCTGCAAACTCTCTATCTCTCAGGGTGTGGAAATAGAGGGATTAGGGGTGGGCAGGGGAGTAGGGGGGAATCTCATGATTCAAAACCACAGCACAAAAACCACAGCACAGCTTCCCACCTGGTGATAGCTGGTTTTGGCCTCGATCATCAGCTGCTGGGTGGAGATCATCTTTTTCCTGCGTTTACACTCTTCCTTGAGCAACTTCATCTCCCCGGCCTGCTTGGTGAGGAGCTTCTTGCTCTGCTCGCCTTCGGCCAGGCTGAGGCGCAGCCGCTCCTCCAGGCCGTGCAGCTGCGAGGTGAGGAACTCCTGCGAGTGCAGCAGGTACTCGATGGTGAGCTGCGCCAGGCGGATGAGCTTCAGCAGCACAGGGTCCACCCCCGACTGGCAGTGCGGGCACTTCTCGTCCTCCAGCTTGCAGAAGGTGATGTTCATGATGTTCTCCTGCAGCGTGAGCACGTCCACCGCCCCGGCCACCTTGTCCACGTCGATGGCGCTCAGCCGCCGCCAGTCCACGCTCTCCAGGCGCGGCCGGAACTGGAAGAAGGGCTGGGGGCCCGACGCCGCGCCGGGGGGCGCGCAGGCCATGGCGGCCTCGGGGCCCTCGAGCCCGCCGGCGAGCGGGTAGTAGACGTGCTTCTGGAAGGGCTGCGGGAAGGAGGCAGCGTGGAGTCCCCGGGAGCCCCGGCCACCCCCGCCCGGCATCCCCGGGCTCCGCCCCGCACTCACCATGCTTGGACTCAGTCCACCGCCTCTGCTGGAGGGGGGCGGTCCGGTCCCCTCTACCCGGCCCGGGGCCGCCTCGCCGGCCGCCGCCGCCCCACCCCTGGGGAGCCGGAGAAGGCAGGTCCCTGGCGGCGGCGGCCTAAGGTCCCGGCGTCCAGGCCGTTGCTATGGCAGCGCCGGGGCTGGACCTGGAGCAAAGGGCGCGCCAGCCTGCGCGCGGTCAGCATGTGCCCAGGGCCCTGCGCGACCAGAGAAAGGCTTGTGGACAGGATCAAGGCGATGCATCGGGGCACCCCGCGAGGGCCTCTCCTAAACTCCAGCTCTCCGGGGCACCAGCCCTTCCTGGCCTTTGCCTAGACACTTGGCGCCCCTAAGGGATGGCTAGTGGCAACCCCGGGAACTTTCAGTGCTAGCTGCCAACCTCTGGTCTATTCACTCCTGTCATTTTTGTTGGGTAACAAAATTGGACAAATAAATGGGTCGAGGGGGATTGCCTGCAAAAGGAAAATACTTTGGGTGTGTAACAGAAATGTTCTGTATTTTGAGGGGGCTGTTAGATGACCCCAGCATATGCCGTTTGTCACAGTCACTGGATGCTACACCTAAAAGCAAGGATGCATTTTGCACATCGTACCTCAGGCGAGTTGTTAAAGAATTACAATTGTGGTCTGTGTAGCTCACTCTATTGGGTCACGGCCTTGCTACTTTTGGGGGTATATTTTCCAAAATGTGAGGGTAAGCGGCGCAAAGGAGGACCCCTCCCTCGCATCACCTTGATATTTACCGTATAAACTTGAGAGGCGGCTGCATTCTGTTTTCTGGAGAGGATAAACTATTTCTAGCAGCAACTTGTAGACCGCAGGCCTCTCATTCTTGGGGTCTTGTTGGGGGCTACCTGTGCTTGTCACACAGATCAATAAATTGAGAAACAGCCAAGTTGTTCCTCAATGCCCTGGGGAGCCCCTGCTTGGCCCAAGCATGAGGAAAATTGTTTTCTTTCCTAACAGCCAGATACACGAACAGAAGAAAAGAAAAGACAATGCAGAAAACTGGAAGCAAAGTGCAAGATTCAAGAGTTGAGTATTTTCCAGATACTGTGAATTACACATCAACAATAAGCACATTTCAAAGGATTTCCTAAAAATCATGCATCCAAATAGCTTTTGATCGGCCTTTGGTAAAATCAAATCAAAACAAAACAAAAAAGCTATTAATGATTCACTGCAGCTAGCAGAAAAGTCTTTAAAGTTTGATGTTTCCATTTATTTGCTGCCTGACGTAGAACCAACAATGCGTGCGCCCCATTCCCCTACCTGCTCCCAGGCGTCAGGAGCCTTACCTGGCAGGTGTGTGGACGGTGGGCTCCATCCACTGGGCTGCAGGGCCAGCGGGAACAAGGGCCTTGGCCTCTCTTGCTCACCGCTCTCTCCCCAGCACCTAGCACAGGACAACCGGGAGGCGTTAGGAATCGGCCCAGTGGCCACGTGGACGCAAAGATGGACTGAAATCAGGCATTTGGTTAAGTACATGCTCCTGCCCCACCCTCCTGTTTCCAGTGCTTGCGCCGGTTAGGGGGGTTCGCAGGCCCCGGCCCCGGAGCTGAAAGCGGGGGGCGGGCTGTCCTCGGGCGCCACTGCGGTGGGCGGAGGAGGGGCGCCCCCCGCCGCGGCCCCTCACCCCTCCGGCCCGGAGCGCCCCGCAGTCGGTCGCCCTCGACCCCGGGCTGAATGTCGAGCGCAAGATGGCGGGATCAGGAAAGAAGGGGGCACCTTTCCCGTCCCCCCCGGCCCCATCTCCCCGCAGGGCCGCCGGCGAGGCGCTGCGCTCGCGTCCCGGGCGCCAGGGCCGCCGAGGCCGCGAAGACAAAGGCCGGGCGCGCGGGCGCCGGCGGGGCCTCGGCGCTGCGCCTCGCAACGAGTGGGGGCCGCGGCGGCCACGCCTGCGGGGTCTGCGGCGCCTCCGGGCGCAGCCGGGAAGGGGCGCAGGGCCGGCCTCGCGGGCGCCCGGCGCATCCCGGCCGCGGCTCACCCCAGCTGCGCGCTCCTGGGCGGGCGCCGGGCGCTGCGAGCCGACGGGGCGACGCTGGGGATCCGGACCCCAGGGGGGCTGCTGGCCAGGCGGAGGCCGCGGAGGAGCCGGGCGGGAGGCGGCGGGCCGGCCCCGGCTTCCAGGGCGCAGGGCGCAGCCCGTCTGCTCTGGGCAAGTCGTGGCGAGGCGGGCTGCGGGCGCCGCTCCCGGCCCTCCCAGGCGGGCGCCTCGGGAACCCCCACCCCCCTCCCGCCCCCACCCCTGCGCGATCCCCCTCTGGCCGCCTCTCTCGGCGTCCCGGCTCCTCTGGCACTGGGCGGGCCCGCGCGCGTCCAGACCGCAGCGCTAAAATGCGCTCCGCCAATCCGGCTGCTGGCGCAGACACGTGGTGCCGGGGCGCCCTGTTGCTGGCTCGGGATGCTCACCCCGGGAAGGCTTTGCAAAGAGAAAGCAGATTCTGGCCTTCCCGGCGCTTGGCCTGGTCCTCGGCTCACTGATTTCCCACTGGGGCCTTCTGGGCATTCGCTCCCAAGAAGAGATTCCTTTTAAGCGCAGAAGTCTGCAGAGGCGAGGGACCTTGCAGAGGCTCTCCAAGGTAGTCTGGCTTTCGAGTTGCATGGAAAATGAGAGAGGGAGTAGGTGCCTAAACACACAAGGGTTTAGACCCACAGGGGTGTCCGCGTCTCTTAACGCTTTGCTCATTTTAAGGGGGAAACTTGGACCTCTGTGGATGGAAAGTTTGGCGGGAGGCGGGCTGGGGCCTGGTGTGGTGGGTCAGGAGTAGTGTTACTTCTTCACCCTAACATTGGCACACGTGGCCTGACAACGAGGCAGAATTCTTTGTGTTTGAATAATGAGTGGTCCCCCAAATACAAATATTTACTTTTTGCTTGTATTTTAGTAACTGAAGTTGACCCAGATGGTGAAATTTTAGTGCACCCTTTGCAAAAATCCTTGTGTCCGCTGTAGCAAAAATGGTTCTTCAGTGAGAAAGGAGCAGCAGTATTTTTGCCCTGTGACAGAGGATTGTTGTGACAGCGGGTTGCTGTGACAGTGCCTTTCCTTGTGCTTCTCCCTGAGTGAACCAATTTTGTACCATACTTCATTTACTACAGGCTTTATGTATTTGGCTTATTTATCTGGAATCTCTTTACTTGAAAGCATAAGGCCTAGGGATTTGGTGGGATTTTAAGTTTGTCTCATTTAAAAGTGCTTTGAATTTGAAGGCGATTCCAAGAGCCCCATAAAAACCCTTAAAGTATTTCTAGTAAAAGTAACCATTTCTTGGTAGAAATTTGGGGCACTATGAGTAAGATAAGGTGAGTGCTTTGCAAATTCTATACTCTGCTAGCCTTTGTGTGTGGGGTGTGTGTATGTGTGTGTGATGACTACTTATTTAGCATTATTTAGTGATTCAACATTTGAGTTACTTGAATTTCCCATTCCTTGCTGTCAGTATATTCCCTGGCAAATGTAGAGTTGGAAGAAATAAGATGAACTAGTTGATTTTGGATCGGCATTGCAGCCACCACACCTTCTCGCTCCTTTGCACAAGCTTCTTATACCAATGATCGCATTAAATTTTTTTAAAAAATTATTTCTATATTCTTCATCAAACTATGAAAACCTCAAATGGGCCTTCCTGGTGGTGCAAGGGGTTAAGCACTGCACTATGAAGCAATCCACAGCCTCTTGCCGAATGAGCAACATGCTCCCGGCCAGGGAGCAACCCACATGGTGCGGCAGACCTCTCCTGTCTCACCCGCTGCTCCCGTATCAGCAGCGTGTTTCGGTCAGTCTGCCTGTTCTGCTCCCGGCTCTGTCTCTGGTAAATCCTCTCACCCCGCCCCCCCCCCCCCGCCCCGCATCACTGGTCTGTACCCCAGCTCTTGTATGCATAAATAAATAAATCTTTAAAAAAAAAAAAGCCTCAAATATTCAGCAAGTTCAGCACATGAATGCTCAAAAGATTGTTTTTGGAATACAAATTATCTAAAAAATGGAACAAAGAAATAATGGTAAAGATTGATCATTTTGCATATAGTAAGTAAATAAAAATGTTGTAGCTGAATTTACACTGCATGCAGGATGTGGGATGGTAGTCAGGGAATGGAGGGAAGCCTGGGAGCTTGGCTGAGAGTCTAATAATACTAATTTCTACACTCAAGGAGAGGAAAATTAGGTTTGCCTTTTGACAGGAGGAAGTATCAGGTTTTGAGGTCATTCTTGAAACCACCACAGCAATCAATACCACAATCGCTCTTTCTTTAATTATTCCCTGGTGGTGAAAATGGCGTGGTGTCAGTCTCAACTGACAATTCCAATGAACCATTAACATATTGCCTTAAACTGACTGAGGTCTGGAAGATGGGTTTAAAAGATACGAAACCCTAACCTAACTCTCAAGAAAAGTGATTTTGTCCTGGCATTAGCAATAAGGTGAGAGAGCGTCCTATAAATCAGATAAGAAACTCATAGTTTGATGAAATGCCACACTTTGGATCCAACCTCCCACCACCTCCCAATGAATTCCTCATAACCAGATATTCATGGCATCAGACAATTTTTACTGGAATCTGATTGTCATGGCCACAGAGCTGCCAACTGGGATAACCAAGCTCAGTTTACCTGCGGGGGTTGACAAGTTCTCCGTGTGCACAGGCATCCTCACTTCCTCCCACTCCAACCTGCAATCTGGGAGTCCATTTCAATGGCAGCTCTCGCACCCAGCATTCCACGTCTCGAGGGGGTTGTCACTGCAGAATTGTCCTGTGCTCACAAGTGGCTACAGAATCATTCTCTACACGGTCCTGCTACCATCCTTTAATGTGACTTCCTGCTCTGCAGAGACTTGGAAGCTATCCAGACTCCATTCCAGCTCCTATTCTGAAAGCAAATTGGTTTCTGTCAACCAGATACACTCTTGAATGATTGAAGGACAGAAGTGAGACAGAAATTAATTTCATGCAGTTGTTTTAGTGGCAAACAAGATCATTCAGATCACAGTGTCTGATAGGTGAAGGCAGCAATTCGTGTCTGCTCATAACTTTGTTTTTTTTTTTTAAAGATTTATTTTATTTATTTATTTATTTATTTATTTATTTATACAAGAGCTGGGGTACAGGC